CACACACACACACACACATATATATATATATATATATATATATATATATATCCAGATCAATTTTTAAGGACAAAAAAATGCAAACTTCATTTGTACTGCTTTTCTCACTCTTCAAATTTGTTTCTAAAGACTACTTATGATATGTAAATTGAAATCATAGCGATACATTAATTACCGTATAGTTACAGACAGAATACGGTTTTCAGTAGGACCAATTTCTTAAGTTACAGTAGCCGAGATCGATAAGAAGGAATTTGTGTATTAGGATTGACAAGTACCAGAATGGCGAATGACTGGAACAGATCCCTGCATTCACATCCTGGAATGTAATTTTCGATATATTTCCATTCCATGACCAGATTCTCCGTATTTCCATACCCATAAAAACCAGTTCGCAATCGGCAGACATGCAGAGTCCTTCAGTCCACCTTTGATTTTAATTTAATAATATTAAGTCGAGAAACTATTACTTCATCTTTTATCTGTCAGTAATTAGTAAACTCACGGCGTACAATAACTCCTTTGTTCGAAAAGCTTCAAGTATTAAGGCAACCCAACTAATTAAACCATCTTGTATAAATATTTATTGATCTAACATGCCAATTATACAATCTGCAAATCCTTAACAGTTAAGGAAATAATGATACTTGGCCGTCTCGAACCTCTAAATATCCTGTACTCTACTTTGTAAATCTCTACCGGTATATAGACTTTACATCTACATGCAACCCAAAACACAGAACACAAACCATACAAGTCCTATGTCGTTTTCCCACTTTTTTTTTTTATCACAAAAATGACCAGAAAACAGCGATATTTACCTTGCGCCATAAAAGATCCTTTTTCAATATATCTTCTATAGTGTTTTCAGTTCCTGCAAACCCAAATTTCTAAAAATCTCATTCAAAAGGTGGATACAACGATTATGGCAAGTCATACAAATAATTCATAGAAAAAATAACATTGGAAACGTAGAGTAAGTTTCTTTTATGAGTTATTTGCTGGTTCACTCTCCAACATGACTTATAAACCTCAAATCGCACAGCACATAATCTAGTTTATTCTCAGAGTTCGAACGGTCTTATTCGCTTAGAATTTTAGATTATTTTAGCGATCAAGCAGAAATCTCGCGAAATTTGAAAAACAACATTGGTATAAAATGACTATGTATGAAACAGGGACAACAATCAATGATCAAGACTAACCAACAAATATCGGAAAATCGTGGCAAATCTTTGCTTCAAATTACGAATAAGTAAACATTGCATAAGAAGGAGAAAGACAGAACTACTTACAGACGTTCAATATATTGACGAAGTTCGGAATCTGGTAAGCTTGAAGGCTAATATGAAAAAGATACCACAATCTGTTGATGATTCAGTTTCTACTGTGAATAGTGAAACGCGAACTAAGGAAATCCATAAAGCAAAAGTTAAAAAATAAAATGATCTCCATTTTCAACAATAAAGATTCAACTTTCCTTTTAATCCTAATCAACTATATTTTCTCCTACTTTAAAATCACTCTATACTCTCTTAATAAAGAATACGAATCATCTTCTAGCTCGTCTTCTTTTCCGGTCCCATCCATCCATCGGCATTCGAAAAGTAACGTGCAAACGATCTAGTATTTCTACAAGTGCCTTCTTCGGAATCTGTGACACAGTCGAATCAGCATGTGACACACGATTGGCAAACTCTTCCTGCAAACAAATGAATGATTTGTTTTATACTACAGCAAAAGTTTTTAGTAAATTGGTAAAGTTTTTGGCCTTTTATGAATCTTTCCTTAAATTCAAGGTAACCATTCTATTAGATGATGACTAGATGAACTTACGAAAGGAACTACGTTTAGACCAAGCAAATGGTTATATAGACTGGAATTTTCCTCTCTGCGTAGCCAATTAAGCAAAACGCTCTGCATACCTTCCAAATCCTTCAAGCAAAATTAATTCGTATCATTTTGATAATTCTATAAATGAACTATTATTTAACCGTTCTCTTTATCTAAAATCTTTGCTCATAAAAATTAATCATTTAATCCTTTTAATGTATGCCTTTTAGTATTTAACAGACAAACCACTGTAATATAAAAATATTCAGAAATATAAATGAATAGATATTCACTTTTGGGAGAAGTGCAGACTGTTCTTCATTCATACAAGATTCCTCCATAATCTTATGTTCATCCAGACTTGTGTTCAATGTCTTGTCTCCATCGGAGTCTTCATCACTACAAGGCTCTACATTTTCTTTTGTCTTCACTTGCCTATTGCTATTTAAGGTTGTTTTACTTTTCCTTGATAATGGTGTGCTTGGTGTGCTCGCCAATACTGAAAATATTATCAAATGAATGCAGTAAAGAACATTCTCTGATTAAACATTAATACCTTTCTGAGTCATGAAACGAGAACTAGGAAAATTCAAATTTATAAACACTGGAAATTCTCTCGAATATATAATATAGCAACACATTTTATTAATTACATGAAAAGTCGAGTCATCAATTACATGACTAATTGAATGTGAAGAGACCTGGGTGTGTTTCATGATAAATTTTTTTAAGGAGTGCAACAGCCCGTTTCTTACCCATCGGTCTTATGCCAAATTTTGCCAGTTCCGTCTAAAAAAAAAACATGAGGATAAAAAAACATTGTTGAATGAAGCCTGGAACACAGATTAATTTAACTTGTAAAATTTTTAGGAGGAGCTTCAAATCAATTTCTTGACTCTATATATAAACAAGGAAAATAACGCATACCCACTCGTTAAAGAACATGGAGTAAGGTTTTCGAAAAGAACATAGCAAATAATGATCTGCGGAAGAACTTTACGCCAAAAAAAGCCTATGAAACCTAGCTTTTATACCTTTTCCATTACCAAATGGTATCATTCCAAGAATTAAGATGAAACAAAATAAATACCTTTAATTCTTTATCATTCATCAAATCATAAACCGGCATTGGCGTAATATCTTTTGTTTTCAGAATCTTTACGTCCGTACCCAGTTCTTCTAATCGCTGTACATGACGATTTGTTGAAACCTCTGGTGTCGAAGCTTCTTGATGTATAAAAGCTTCGGCTCGCACTCTTTTCTTCTCAGGTGATGAAACAACGTTTTTGTGAGGAAGAGAAGACCGGTCGAGTAATGATAACGATGACAACAAATGGGTAGACTTTTTTGGAATGAATGAAAAGTCTAGACTAGTTTTCGTTATTAACGATTCTTCAGACTTTTTGTTCCGAGAGCTTGGTGAAGTGAGAAGCTTTCCCGGTGAATTACCCGATAAGTTATCGCTTGCTGCCTGCCTCGAACAACAAGCAGTTGGTAATGAAAATCCATCGCATGACGGCAATGGTTTGATTGGTGAAAGTTTCTTCAGCAAGCTTTCAATGGAGTCATTCAAATGATCCATAACAATTAGATTTGGTGAGGCACAAGGAGGGAGAGGAGAAGAAGAAAGCGGAACATAATTGTCAACTCGATCGCCCAATAAAAACGAATTATCCTGCTTGGCAAATTCGGCAATTCCTTTTTCTAAAATTTCGGATTTCTCGTCCACTGATGACTTCTTACACTTTGATAAAGAATACCGAAGTAAATTAGGACTTCCACCAATGAATTCATTACCCTCGCTATTGACGAATTCTGAAGATGATGGTCTAGTAAAGTTTTCTGAGGTTTTTTTTAACAAACTGTGTATATTTGTTGCCACGTTGACAATGTCAACATTCCGTCCAACTTCTTCGACAAAGATAATCGAAGGATCACCCGGATCTCTATTCTTTGTTTCTTCTTTTTCTCCACCACAAACTCTAAGTTTTGCATCTGAAAAACATCGTCCTTCTTCCATTTCTTCAGTTGTTTTCACATTTGGAACTTTTTCCATACCGTTACAATTCCCACTAACATCTATTTCTGGATAATGTTCCACAGTTTCTTTCTTGAAGCATACTTCCAACTTCGTAGATTTACAAAGTGCTGCTAAACCCTTCGGCCCATATTTTACAGCCATAGAATGCACTTCTTCGCGTTCATTTTCAGTCCAAATTATTGAAGCCGAAGTCAAAAAAGCCATATAAGATCTGCAAGGTAAAATATTAAAGATGTGGAAAGTATGTGGAATAATTCCCTTTAATAAACTAAAAAACATTAGCTAGTACAACAACACAAGACTATAATATATTGACACTTTATTCAAACTATATTTCGAGGAACTACATTTTCTTTAGAAATATATATTGAGTCAGAAACTTAATTATTGATATATATAGAAACATCGCTACCTGACTGCTGCTCCTGAATATTCCCTCAACTTCAAAGAACCATCCTGATTCAAGTGCTGGAAAAATACCAATTCATTTATGCACAATGTATGGAAATTTCATTGAAACACATGAATTCTAATGCTTCAGTTAATATCTATATAGTTGTTGCCTGACTGGCAAATCTGAACAACTTGAAAGTAGTAAACTATTGAATTTAGATAGTGCTCATTACTTTTAACATTCCCAATATTACAAACCATTTTTGAATATACTAACACTGAACTAGTCTTCGTATAAAAAAAGTTACCTCAAAAAATTAAAAAGAAAATCTCTTCAATGCAGGAACATTCCAAAAACTAAAACAAAAAACCTGTAAAAGTGCTGGTGCTCGAGCAGCTATAATAAACTGACAAACTAAAAAAGTTTCGTTTTCGCGCGAAAAAACAATGACATCACTGTTGTTTTCAGTAAAACTAGCTAAATCATCTGCCAATTGTTTCAAACTATTTAACTGCAAGAAAAACGTAGATTTCATCTTGCATCGAGACAGATTCTGTTCAATATTTGCTCAGGAAGCACTGCAAAACAGACTTCAGATAAGCACCCTACCACCACAAATACGAAAAGAACAATAAGAATTAACTAAAAAAATGATGCAAGTCATCTAGTTACTCGCTACATAGTGCATTTATCATACAGTTGCTAACTTTACGCAAGCACACTCCTGCATTTTTCAAAATCTCTTCGGTATCCTGAATATTTTTTTTCAATATTGTGCGCATATCTTCTTCATCTCGGGTTTTGAAAATGTTAAGAAAATTCTCCTGAAAATTTGACGCGTTACGTGAGAGAGTGAGATTAAACCGCTGTAGTAAATTTTTCATAAAATCAATTGAAAAGTGATATGTATTCTGTGACAAAGAAAAGGTAGTATAAGGGACTACAGGAAAGCTTTAAGATAGAAACAGATATCAAGGCAATGAAAAATCATAGGATACATACTCTAAAAACTTACAAAAGAAATTATATAAAATTTGCTTCGTGATAAAATACATAAAATTAAAACCACCTGTATTTTTTCAATCACTTCACACTTGCATACACGTGGTTCAAGCTCCACAAACGAAAATGATCGAGGTCGTCGCTTTTCAGATTTCATTTTAGGTAACTTCTGTGGTGGCTCATGTGTTTCAGTGTACATTTTACTGTAATGTAAATAGAATATGCCTATTCCATGAAAAATAGCTATTTCGAACAGAAATTTTCGAAACAAAGTTTTTCTTTCTTTTTTTGGAGAAAGTAAACAAGTTTGAAACTACTGAAAATGTTCATCTCTAAGCAGCAAAAAGTAGAATAGCTAGAAAATGGAAGCATTCAAGAGTAAGATTGTAAATGTCACAAAATTTCTTAAATTTATTGTATTAATATGAAAAGACTTGACAGCATTAACATTAAACAGAAATTTCCTGAAAAAAAAGAAAAAAAAACATCCGTTGGAAAAAAGAACCTTTCACTCGGGCACATGCTTGCAGAAAGAGCTTTCCCCAGCTTCATTTGTTCATCGAATAGTGAACGCGGTTCCTCATTCAAACGAATAGGACGCTTTTTTGTTTCTAGTTTTGGCTGCCCCTGCCTAGAAACAATGAACAAACAAAGCAAAATATGAGTCAAGAAAAGCTTGTTTCTATTCCTATTCGTAAAACTAATTCACTACTCTAGTCTCTGATTCGCATCATTCTCAACTATTCAAATTTACTTTATTTTCACATGAATTCCAAAAATGCGAATCAAAAAAACTTGTACTTTGTATGTGCAGCACCATTTCGTTTCTTCGCTTCTGCAACTTTAGTTTGCGTATCTAGCAGTAACAAAAGACTGTTAGGATTAACGTGATGCTTTTTACCACAGCGTTTAACATGTGTTGCACGAAACTGAAAAATTTATTTCAGAGATAAGTACGGGTAGTACTTAAATTTATAAAGAATACGCTGGTTTATTTGGCTCTCTTCTTTAAGAAGTGCTTCCATTGCTACAAAGTTAAATGTTACAATACTTCACCATAGTGTGATATGAATTCAGCAACTTGAAAATTATCACTTTTTATCTGATGGTAGTTGGCACTAAGTACAGAAATACAAATAAAAGCAACGAACTGCCAAGAGAACAAGATCTGCAGTTAATCATAATGAAATTGTTCCCAAAAAACTTACTGGTCCTGATTCTAAAGGTTCACCGCATATAGGACAATCCACTACTTTCTTCCATTCTTTCTTTCTTGTTTTGTATTTTTCGCATGTTTCTTGCTGATCCAAACAACAATTGATATGTAACGACTTGCGCAATTCATCCAAATGTTTCAAATCCTTTAAATATCAGCACTTTTTTAGTGCATTACAAACACAAGAATTCTGTTCTGTTCATAGTTTTTCAAAGGAATGGCTATTTGTCGCATAAAACAGTAAATAATGTCCAGTTTCGACCGTTTAATTATCCACAAAAAGTACACACCGCATACAATACTAAATGAAAATAATTAATCCAGTAAACAAATGCACTACGTGGAGTGCATAAAAACGGAAAGGAAGCATCAATTAATGGATGTGAGAAAACATTTCTGTCAGCAATGCAAATGAGAGATGAAATTTACTTTATTGCATACGAAGCATTTGTCCTTATCACCTCCCGGCAGCAAATAATCACTTCTAATCACTGGCTTTGAAATAATTTCGCTCCCTGATTTACATTTATGCTCGCTGGAAATCGTTTTGCTATAATGACGTTACTCAAATTATATCTCACTATTCTATCAGTCATCTACTGCACATTCTCTTCCACAACTCCAGAGAAAATTGCTTGTTTTCAGTAACAGTGATGTTTTCAGTCCCTTTTTGGTGGTGACGAAACTGAAGGAATAAAATTTACAAGAAGCTACAATGTTTGGGTAATATATCTGCACATAACCGTTAGTTTAAGAATGAAACTTTGAAGGACAAACAATAATGCCATTAATAACATTCGTTTGTTCTCTTTCATATTCATAATAGTTACCTGGTCGATTTAAGCGATTTCTCTACAAAATCTGAGTCGTCCATTGAACAGTTTCATCTCGTAGTCAACCAACAAAATTCATTACCTAAACTTGAAGTAATCCGGTATTAACAGCGTAGTACTTACGAGGTGTGAACACAGAACGGTGAAGCGTATGACCCTAAACCTGATTGATCAATAAGTAAAGGTTCGCTGAAGTAAACGCCTTTCGCAGCTCAAGTGGTCTAGGGAATCTCCTCGGGACCCGAGTACAAATCCGCCAATCTGGAAGAAATATGTGAAACAGACTTCTGAAACACTGTTGTTTGATTAATTGATGAGTAAAAGTTATTCCAAAATATGTCTCTGTGATTGCTAAAAAGAGAGAAATCGCTAGGGATGGGTTAACGATTAAGGTGACTAACGGATGGAAAAGAATGGAACAGATGGAAAAGAAGATGTAAATGATCAACAGGATTTTCCATAACAATCAAAGTTGAAGACACTTAACTATTTGTTTTCTACCAAAATCATAGAATTGCGAATGTCTAGACGCCAACATCCTGAATTATTTATTCATCAACTTAATGACGTCACATCAATACTTTATGCAAACTTGTTATGACATGTTTGGTGAAACTTTTTGGTTGAGGTGGAGCAGGGAGAGATCCCTTTGTTGAAAGGTCATCATTCGATCTCCCAGATCAGCGAATGCAAATGAATGGATATAAAGTAAGTGAATGTCATTAGAGTAGTATTGTCAAAAAATCAATATTCCGAAAGCTTTCATTTCCATTTGGTAGAATGACGATTATCGATGATATCAGTGCCAACGATAGCTTCGAGGGAGAAATTTATCGGTCCAGTTGCTCGGGAAATTAGTGATGTTTACGGTAATAGGTATGACGAAAACCGCTTGAATGATTTTTACCATTGCTGTGAAGATGACAAGCCGAACAGTGGTGAACACCGATGCTTCTACCTGAAAATTTTGTCGCTTATCTTAGACGGCAAGTTTACTTCCTGATGAAGATGCCGGAAACGGAATCCCAGAAACTGCTTTATAAAATAAGAAACAAAATTATTACAAAAATGAAATGAAAAAAAAGAAATTCAAAAAATTGAAACGTGAAACGTGGAAACAGAACTCAGCAAAGATTATTTCAGATAGATGCATTCTTATGCTCACTAATTTACCTGCGCGAATAACTTTTTCGTGATAATGGGACCTGTCTGAATGCTTTTTCTGCTGCTAAGAGTAATGATACTGGAAAATCTGTGTAAATGGAATGAAACTACATTAATGCTTTGCACTTAGTAAGTAAACATTTCATTATGTTCGCGTTGGGACATTAAAAGACAATTAATGTAATTGACAAGATACCATTGCAACATTTACGAAGAGTAAGTCGTCCACAGCCGTAGCACTTTAAAACATCATGCTTTGGCCTATTTTGATGGCTTGGTCCACCAATTATGTGAATGGAATGTCTGCACTTTGCTTTGCGGTGATGGTTTGACGCTGATAGCATCTGATTCCAAGCGTGGGATTTTATTGCTGAAATTTAGTATTTAAAGGGAAATATAGTATTTACAAGTCAAAATTTAATCCAAAGTTGAAAATACTTCTGTATGAATTGTTGATGTTTATGTGAAAATGTGCGTATAATACATTCAATTAAGTTCACTTTAGTAATACGAAATATGAAGAAAGGACGTCGCTTATGAAACAAATTATGGTACCATTAACGGTGGACGACCTTACACAACGACGGTTTCGACTCGATTGCTCACGAATCCCTTTACAAATACACTTCTGGCATGAATATACCTTAAGTTTGCAATTTAAAACTGTAAATTTGACAATCGAATCTGGATGAAATTAGTGAGAAATGATAAATTTAAATTATTCGAGTCTTTATTAATCAGTGATAATAGATTTCTCAGTTTACTCTACCATTTCCATGTTAATGGAAACCTTTTTGTTAGTAAAATTAATTGAGATAGTAAGTGTAACAGTGTTAGGATGCTACTTAATATCATTAAAATGTTTCTAATAAAATTTTAGAAGAATGATGAAGACACCCAGCAGATGTACATATTTCAAGTAAGTATTTTTCGGTTTTCAAAACGCACAAGGGATCGATTGTCTTTCGACATCATACGAAAAATAATCAAATTTTTGAATATTACTCACTTGAAATTGAGCGACTCAAAATATTTTCATGCATACCTAATCTCATAATTTTTGTAAAACAGAAAGAAATCATATGTTATTAGAATACCGGCAATTATATTGATACTTCACTAGAAGATGTCAGTAACACGTAGAGAAAGGTCACGCTTTATGAGCTATGATGTTACACCGGATATGAGCAAAACCAACAGAGTAAATCAAGTTTCGTAACACAAACACACTAACATTTGCTTTAATAAAATTGCTCTCCGGCCGAACTTGTTGATGAATCGGTTTTGAACAATGGGTCATCTTCTGATAAATCTTAAACTAATTATCAATGATGATTTGTATCACCTAAGCAATCTTGTCAAGCATGAAAAGGAGCAAAATAACAAAACTCAGTTCAATTCAGCAAAAACAGTCCTCTCTCAATCCTTGTCTATTTTTGGTTTTTCTTAACCTCATTTCAATCACTTTATGACAATTCTTTGGGCAACCAGCAACAAACAATTCGAAAAAAAAGAAAAGTTTTTGACACTGTAGGATGTTTGAGTAGCTTCATCCTCCTTATTTTTTACTGGTTCATTCGTATGAGTTGCACCAGTCGTTCCTGAATTATAACTATTTATTTTACACATACCGCCACAACATGAACCATTTTTCTGAAAACTTCCAGAACATAATATTATAAATCTTCTAGTATATTAAACATTTTGAAAAATTTCAGGAAACTACGAGTATTCTCGAAATCTGCATAATATTGGATTATAGTATCTGATCCAAGAATACGAGGCCATCTAACGTATGTGGGGATGGCTAAAAAGATACATGGTGAACTGACCATGAATGTCTTGGCTTAAATTGATGTCATACCATACATATCAGCGGTTTAGATTGGAGTCATTCCATCTCGGTAAAATGCTTCTACCGCAAGGAGGTAGTTAACTTAGAGACTTATTTGAGAAAATATTTACTTCCTACCACATTGTCATAAACATCTGAACACTGTTGACAATTGCGTTGCTTTACGCTTGCATTGGAAGGTACAGAGCGATGGGAAATTTGATGAGAACATTTTGGATGGTAACATTCGGATCCTTCAATGCAATCGTGATAAAAAAAATTCATTATAGTATCTTCAGTTAACTAGTTCGTGTCATATGTTAACGAACGGTTTTGCCCATTTTTTTGCAAAATTTTGAAAATTTCGAGAACCGTACGAAGTCGCTCTGCGTTTTTCCGATGTCCGTGACTTACGTAAATGAGAAATATTTCTGGAATTGCTGTTTCGATCCATAGCTTGTAGGCGGTTATGGTCAGTAACTGATTCTTCTGCGACTTTTGCCTTTTCGATTTCATTACACGTCACAGTCGATTCCAGTAAAATCGGTTGTGCTGTTTCTGATACTTTCAGCTGTTCATAATTTTGAAGAATTGGCTGAGTCTTTAATAGGCCCAACTCTTCATCAGCGTACTCCTTACCCGTTCGTATATTTATCTGTAAGAAATGGATGGCACATCTCAGCTTTCATTTCAAGTAACTCAAAATTTCCTGAGGAAGACATTCCGGCACAAAACATACAACTTATCATAGCAGCAGTAATTGTAAACGATCTGCGCTAATGCATATATGTATTTTATCTGCTGTAAGACCTAAAAATAATTCTAATTGAGGTCTACCATAAACAGGTTGTTATGAAGAACCAGCGCATTTACATTATACTGATACTACTGATTCCAGTGACAACTGATAACTGATAGTGAGAGCAAACCTGTGAACCCATCCTCGTTATTAATCAGTTAATGAACAATAAAATGAATCCAACAACCATCACCGAATTAAGGGCTAATAATACCATTAAATCTTTCGCCAAACTTTTATTTTCATGAAAAAAATTGAAATTCTTCAAAGTTAAAACTGCATATGCAAAAATTTGCTCCTGAGTTTCTCAAAAAGAGAGGGAGAGAGGGATAGACTCTGTTCCAAAGAGAGGGAAAAAAAGGAGCCTGGGGGTAGCTCACAGACAAAATGTTTTTGACAAGCGCTGAAGAACATAGCTAACATAATTTATGGAGGTACTTTTTATCAATATAAAGAGTTTAAAGATCATATTTATGCAATGGCAATTCATCTCTCGATCAAGTGGGATGTTCAGAATAAATCACTGAAGAAGTAATGTGAATTGTCAGCATTTGCGTGTCCAATCAAAATCATGATGAAGAAAAAGAAACAAAAAAAAAAATCGTTTATTATAAAAAACGAGTATAATAACATCAGTGCTCAATTTCCCTAGCAGTGTCACTTGCTGTGATGCTATTCATCTTATGAACAAATTGAAAATCTCCTTCTACGAAACTAGAAAACCTCTCTAAATTTATCTTAGGTCATGAAAAATTTATGTTGCATACGAAAATTTTATTGGTGATTTTTCAAACAAAAAAGATTGAAAAAAGGCAGCAGCTTGCTGAAAGAATTGAACTTTTGTTGGGTTTAAAAGGAGACGTGTAGGCAATGGGGGAGAAATTGAGAATTAGGTGGGTTAACAAGTGCAGGAACTACCAGATTACATAGAGGACACCAAAGTGCTCAGAATGACATTGATTTCAAGGAAAAAAGGAGAAAGGGCCCAAATCAAACTGATGATGGTTTTTGTAGTTCAAATGAGATAATGATTAAAGCATCCTAACAAACTACTTATTACTAAATGACATCATATGAAGCAACTTAGGACAGTCCAGGTTATTTCTGCAAATGGAAAATTGCGGGAAGAATTTCTAATCATAGTGATGGTACTGTATGTGATGTTCACACGATTTGTTTTTATGAAAAGACAGAAGAAAATTCTTATGTAGATTGAGAATCTGATTATCCTAGAAGTATTTAAGCAGACCAAAATAACAGATAGTTTAACGCGTCATCAACCTCACGTTTTTCACCATCAACTTGCGCAGCACCACCGTCGAATCCTTCACCACCACTTACTATGAACATCTGGAAAAACAAAAATAGATTGTAATGTAAGCGAGGCAACCGATACTCAGTTTAAGTGAAGTTCCCACTTATTCATCGACACACTAATCATTCCATATTTTGAGAGAGAAAAAACTTGACTTCAGATGCATTTTCTGGCACTTGAGTACGACAAGATTCTATATTGTGAAATAAAGTTTCATATTAATTTGTAGATTTATCCCTGAGGTGATTAGATCAATCGTCATAACGTAATGATGTAAAATACCACCTGCTCAATTTGTTGTAATGGAGGAGCACTGAGTGACATTCGCCGACGTCGTAAATCAAATGCGGGTATTGCTGTAGCCGAAACAGCGGTCAGAAATCTACAAGGTCCGATATGTCCCGCTTGGCATACTGAAATGAAGACAGCACGTTTAAATTACTTTTCATGGAAAACGATTACCAGTCTGCTGGGGCGCAAAGTTCTGAAAGCCTTCTGCCTGTAGTATTACATACGAAACAAAGACAATAATTCAGTTTTTATAATCTCAAAACTTTCGAAATATCCTTTTCAAAATTAAAAGCCCAATTAAGCTTGTTCTAAATAAAAAAATCACTGCTTCAAATTTCTATTCAAACAATAAGTTTAGAAAAATCACGTGCTTTTAACAGACTTTTTTTTAAAAAAATGAACTTTAAAATTAAATTTTTGAAAGGATAAAATTTAAAAAATTGGTGGTATTATCAAATCTAAGGCATCTCTGATTGGCATCTTGTATCATACCTTGCACGCGCCATCTGACCTCTAATATGTCCCTCTCCTATCCCATTTATTACCATTTTTACACGACATCAACAGAATTATTTGCAATTGTGCTTTGAAGATACCATTTAAGGAAGGTGTCCAATTTAACATTTTATTATTTGGAATGAGTGTATTGATAACGATACCAGCAGAAGTACCGATCCAAAGACAATTGTTACAACATAGAAGTGATGTTATCCTCAAGCATCCCATCTTATGTTTGCGAATGATATCTTCACTACCTGTAAATAAAATTATTTAAATGAGGGAATGTTTTATCGTAGAACAACAATTCTTTTTCTAATAAATCAGTATAGAGCAAGAATTTGAACAGCTTTTGAAGTTAAAAAACTAAAATTGATGGGAAGTAGACTTATCTATCTATTGAGACTGATTCTCTCAAAAAAGAACTTGATTGCAAACTTACTCGACAATGCCTTATTGACCACATGTGAAATACTAAACTCCTGTTGGCAGACCAAAGTAAACGCACTGATTACTTTAACAATCGATGATTTATTCATGGCCACAAAAATTGTTGAACCGAGTACAGCTAAGCAAGCTACTGTCTCCATTGCACTTGTACTTACTGCTGCGTGTTTCTTTAATTAATGATCAAATTTCATCCTTCATTCAAAATCCATAGCCAGCAAATGGAAATCTGTTCAAAGTCATGAACACCGTCGAATACTAGTTTTCATTAATCTTTGCTCTTAATTAATTATTTCTGCATGTCAAATACATCCTTCCTAAAGCAAACATATATTGGACTTCACAAATTTTCAAAGGACAAGTGAAAAGCGAACATTTTAAGAATCCTTAAAATGATGAAATAAAGTGAACACAGAAGAACAACAAATATTTTGTGAAACTGAAGTGAAATTTGCTTGAAAATATGTTTGTCATCCTTTTTTTTAGTTTTTCATTTTTTCTCAAAGAGAAATACTATAGTAAACACAAACCTCAATTTGCAGGGTTGAAGCATTCAATAGGTAAACTGAATTGCCAGACGCAAAACAAAGTCTTGAAGCCGCAACACTCATAGGCCTCAAACGTCTGCGAAAATTTATTTGGACTGATTTCGGATTCTCCAAATCCCATTTACCTTCTGAAAAGAAAATGACGATCAGGCAGATAACAAGGAGTTACTTTCTATGTCCATCTATTCGCCAAAGCTGTCCCCTTCTGGTGCTGTTCAGTAGGCCTTTCATTGGTCACTGAGCATAAAACTTCAGTTTGTCGAATAATGCTAACTTATTAAACTATTTAGCTGTCAAACTTAGTTGTTAAACTATTTTAATCCTTCCTCCATTATAGAATACTATTAATTTTTTACCTGAATTCAGACGCCAACATGTTTTTTAGGGTTTTCCAATTATCTGATTGTAACCTATTGTGATGAAGAAGTAACTATATTTTACAGAAGTTAGATATTATTACTAACGCTAGTATTACTATCTTAATATTTGTAGCATACGGCGTTGGAACATGAACGAACGGTCTTATTAATCTGAAATATTGAAGTAAATTATTGAAACCTTTATTTCTTTGGAAATGTAGTAGTTGAATGTGTGAGTTTGATGAGATCGAAACGAAAACTTTTTCTTCTAAATAAACGATGTCATCCACAGGCATCGGAAGTCTGGCCAACCTTTCATAGGCTTTCAATCGAACATTATCCAAAAGATTGAAAACGAATATTCTGAAACAAGTAATGTGTAACGAACAGATAAAGGAAGACAGGCGTTGAATTTTCTGCAAACTTCACTTTTTTTGGTGACAATTTCTTTTGTAAATCTCTTCTTCCTGTTTCCAGGGATACGAAGGATGCTTTCTGGGCGCACTGAAACTTAAGCCACATCTTGAAATAATGCGAAATAGGCCTTCAAGCCAATGTAATCCATCACCAAAGGGAAACTGACACCACTAAACTCTTTACATTTATAATTGCTTAGTGAAACTTACTTCTCAAATTAACGAAATATTAGGACTAATTATCTCCGTAATTAATCAAGCTATTATTTCAGGATATTACTGATGAATCCCTTAACTTTTGAATACTGTTTCTTATGTAAGAATGAGGATGCTTACCAAGATTATAAGAGAAAAAAAACATCCCTTCAAATGAACTATCCTTCAAGAAATCTTTTTGATACGAAATTTTTATTTTTTATTCTTTTTTATCCAATTGAAAGTTTTTAGACTTCAAAAATTATCTCGAAAGTCAATTAACTTACTCGCCATCTTCATTGCCAATCCAGACAGTAGATTGTACATTTCGTCGAGCTGTTTCCAAATCCGATTCGCCCGATTCCGATGAATTGCTAAAGATACACTTTATTATTCCTTTCATGCAGAATTTTTTAAAATGTTTTTGCCGAACCTCTTGAAATTTCAGTATTTTACACTAGGCTCGTTAAGCAAACCTGTCAAGCTCCAAGCCGGGTAATTCTCTCGATGACGAGTTCACCAATTTTGCCAATTTCCTTTTTTTCTGAAATTAAAAGAACCCTTTAAATTGCTATTCCGGAAATACATCAATATATGAAAGACGTAAAAAGCGAAAAAGGGAAAAAGGAAGTGATGAGAAGCATGCAAAATCTTTAATTCCATAAAGTATAGGCCATTATTAGATCAATCAACCATAAATGAGCAACTTAAAAAACAAGCATTGGACAGACACTTTATGAAGAAAAAAGTAATACCTTGGGGCGGGTACGGAGCAGATTGCAACAATGGCTGCATTACCAATGCTTGTAGTGCTTTCTATAGTTGGTTCACCGTTTACATTTACTACAGCAACTTGACCGGAAAATTTATCTGATGCACAGACCCAAACATTGGGTGCTCCTTCTGCACTCTTCCCGAAGGTTGCCGATGCTACAGAAAACTGGAAATTTAAAAAAGTATTCTAGACTTAATTAGAAGTTTTCGACCTGCAATATACAAACTTGGAAAGCAATCCAGCAAATCAGCATAACAATAGTTACATAATATCAAGATAAAGTTCATGAAACTGACCGTAAGTCCAGGACGAGTTCGATGCGTTACAATCGATTTCAAGTGGTTTAACCTTCCTTCATTTTGCATCTCATTCTCTGCAAGTGATTCAAAGCAATAATTATTTTAAAAATTTGCATAAGTATATTTTACATTATTTATTCCTCAAGAAGTCAAGTAGAGGGAATAATTAGAGTGAAATATAATTTAATGAATAAATGAGGACTTAGCGCAGTTTTTGCTTTTATCAATGCATTCTCCCAAATAGCTCGTCGATCAGCACTAGGGAATTGTATTACGAGTACGCCAACACCATTTCTGTAATCAAGTAAAATTTGCTTCTTTTTTATTGTACAATATCATATAATGGAACAGATGTCAGACTGTCCATATATTTTGATATTACACTCTCATATAATTATTGGGCATTAAGTGAACATTGAAAATGTTACTTTGAAGACCCATCCAATTGCTAAGTCGTTAATCAGTGGTAATATCTCCTCTGGCTTTCCTATCCTATTTCAACATTATCCAGCTATTATTATTCCCAAATCATGCTAATGAAAAACGATTAGATTGTGCAGTCAGCATAAAACCACCAATTTATTCCATTTTTTCGAGATAACTAAATTATATATTATAATTCTTCTTTTATCATCTAAAAGCTCAAGATATAAATTAAGCAAATGAAAAAAGTCGGGGATGACCTGATCATATCACATTTAAATCGAAATTTTGACAAATTTTCAAAAATAACTTCTAGAATTTGGTATAGGATTTCAATTGAAAATTTGAAATTTTAGTGAAAAAATTTGAAAAAGGAATATGAGTAGAGCTTTGTAGGATGTTGAGTACGTTGTTGTGACTTGCAGCTGCACTATGGTTAGTAATGGATCTGATGTCAGCTGTTCCTGAATAACCCGTTTTCGACGCATCATTTCAGTTTCCAGATTATCTAACATATTCGCTAATTCCTGCAAAAATGCGTACTTATATCATAACACTAATACATTGTAAGATACTCATAATAGTTTAAATTGATTTCGCATTTTCACGTCTTTATTGACTGCTTTCATGCCATCTTGAAAATCTAACCTGCATTGAATTGTTATCAGAAGGATAAAAGTTGAGTGAAAATTATTTCAATCAGACAAAACATACGATATTTGGTTTCTTGAGTAATCTCGACAATTCGGTCATTTTATTCACAATATTTATATCTTCTTGCGCATTTTGCAGTTCCATTTCAGCCGTATGCAGTAGTGACAAAGTATCTGAAATACCAGTAATTATAACAAGCAGAAATAAAAGACTGAAAATGCATACTTTCAGACTTGGAGCTCGATCTAGTAGCTAGTCCACTAATAATGTATAAGCATTATATAAGATCCTCTGGTCAACGGTCAAGTAACACCTTTTCATTTGCTCTTATTATTTGCTGCTTGTCATAGTGCTAAAATCTCTATATTTTCATTCGTTTCTCTCTTTTTCCAACTGTATTTTGTAAGCTTATTGTAGCATTAATAAACATAAATACTATCTCAATCTTTGGTTTTTAATTTAGATAATATCATTTTGATTTGAAACGCAGATTAAACTGCTTTTTCCAGCAATAGTAAACAAAATTGTCACCTTTGGCAATTACAACATCATCCAGTGAAATCTTGAAAAGTAGCTTGAAACGATTGTTATCTAAGAAATCTGATGAGTGGAATCTGAAAATTTCGTTTTTCTTTCTGATGAATCCGACTCCGCATCTTAAAACTATGCTTTTAATTTAGTATTTCAAGCTAAAGCATATAAGTTTGCTAATACTGTAATGGATAATACTCTTCAGCTGAGGAACTAACCCCTAAAGAACTTCCAGCAGAAAAGAAAAATTTCTAAAGTTCTCGTTCTAATTTTATCATAATAAGGATATTTCCTGGAATATTCTGAAATTCCAAAACAATTTTTTGCGTTTATCATAATTTAAAGCAAACACTTGCGATGGTGATGATTTCCTCCTCACATTTGTTACAATAATCTGATCAGACATTAGAAATAGACAGCGCTGTTTATTTTGCGTTGTACCCAGAACAGTTACGACATCATAACGATTGAAAGATCGACCAGTTGTTACCAACTGAAAATTCATTTACCAAATTATTAAATCATAAAGATATATAATGAATGAAGAACAACTTAACTAAGTAATATTGAATAACGAAATTAATGAAGATCCTTAATACTGACATCATCGAGACCATCAACAATCGCTTCGATTTCACGTAGTCGCTGCTCCATTTCTTCGCTTTCTTCCTTCTGACGATTAATTTTGGTTGCCAGTTCATGGATATATTTTTGGGCCAGTAATAAGCTATCATAATCAGCATGCTCCACTGATGTATGCTTGATTATTTGCTGCAACGAGTCTCTAAGTAAAATTCTCTTCAAATATTAAGGTGTTCGATTATCTTGCATGAGACTCACGTGACCGCTTCATTGAGCTTAAATTTATGAGAATTAGTTCATAAAATGTTCAAAGCATAGGAATTCCAACCTTTACAATTAATTCATAACGTGGAACTCGTTGTATAGGTGAAATAAGCAAAGAATCCAAGTCCAATTTGTTCCGATGATCTCTTCGACATCGCTGAAAAGACGCTGTCACACTGTTTTTTAAACTAACAATTAAGTTACGGTCTAATCTCTAACATGATTTAGACTTAAATGAAAAAATTCTTGGACTTACTTTCGACTATTTTGACTTTACTGAGAATAAAAATATTGAGCTAAATTTGGTTGAATGCTGCCTGCTGGCTACATTGCGAGCACACGTACTACTTTTTCTTATACCTTTTTCATATCATGATAAAAGTGTAGATTAGATTTTAAGAGTAAAACCGCAATAAATAAAATACAGCAAGCATTGAGCCAAGTAAATTGAAAATTGATCTTTTCTCTTCTCAACTATAAGCACATTGAACTTGCCATATAATACTTTTCGAATGCTGGACGCTCACGTGCTTGTTTTATACTTTGTTTGGAAAATTTAAAATTATCAACAAATGCAATGTATGTATCAACCATTGATTGCTTCCGAAACTGAAAATCAATCGTACTTATTACTGGCACATTAAACCATTTCCAAAAGTAAAAGCATCACTATTACACTTCATCTGATTTTTTCCAACTCAAGCTAATCCAGAAAAGTAATGAATCGTCAAATTTCAACAGTTGTTATCAGCATAGCACAATTAATAGAATATAATAGTTGTTAGTGCTAAAAGAACTAAAAAGATTCTTGGATAGAGAATTCATCTTAAAATAATGATTAACAATTTTTTATATTTTTAACATTTATTTCTATGAAAGTCAAAACATTTTATTAATTAATACATTATTAACCAAAACCTAAATCTCTGGAAAAAATAGGATTCCGCCATTATTTGTTAATTAAATTTAACATACATGGGAAAGAAGAACATCACCGATTCTCGTATCTGTTTGAAATGTATCCAATCTATCGCACAATGCCGCTAAAAAATGCTGAAAATTGAGGAAGAAGTTAAAATCGTGGAAAAAACAAAGCTAATTTTGTTTTAACATTCCAATATCTAATTTACTTAAAGATGAAAAATAAAGAAAATTGAACTATTCTCAGACGTTGGATGCAGTACGAAATTAAAAACTGGGCATATTTACGTAATGTTTAAATCCATGTAATTATTAAATCTTGAAAGTTCACAAAAAAATTGGTTTTTTCAAATTTTAAGCCTCGAGGAAGAGATGTAAGTAAGGCTTTCATCATTTCCAACAGCGATGGTGTAAAGTATCAGGAAAAAATAAAATGAAAAAGGACGAAACGGTAAGATGGAAATGATGAAAATAGCTTTAGAAAAAAAACAACCTGATGGTGAATTAGGATTTCTGGAACTTTGTAGAAAATTTTATCGGCCAGGATGCGATCTATCAAAGTGCATTCCAGTGGCTGTCGTAGAGGTCGCATGTACTTCTGTAAGTTATCAATAATGAATAAAAAGTGTACGAATGGTCTGTGAAAATAAGCGTAACAAAAAACGCACGTGTTGCCGAACTTTTCATCTTTCCAAACATCCCTATCAATCTAAACTCGAAGAAGTTTAGGTTTAAACATTAAGCTACCAATGAGCCCATGATCAAGTCCATGTCAAACCTGAATGAGATATTCCAAATCTTCAACGAACGTTCTTTCAGTATCACAAAGTTCTCTAATAGCCATATTGCGGACATCATTATGTCTTCGAATCGATGCTCGAGAACGCTTGCTCCAAAGTAGCAGATCGGCTTGCATCATTGGATTAGTTATGGTACTGGAAGTTTTTGTATAAACCGAAGGATTCCTGTAATTTAGTTATTTGAAGTTGGATAGATCATTCTCGGTGTTATATCAGTGAGAAGCTCATCAACTTCAAGAAATACTGAAGAGGGCCCTAAATACTTCAAGTTATAAGTACATAACTCAAAGAAAATTAGATTGTAAAATAATATTTTGTCACATAAATATACATCCTCTGCGCGGTATTTCTATATTTAAGTTAAACTAAACGGAAAAGGAATTTTTTTCTAACTGTTTCAAATGCTTCCATTCGAAATTTAACTCAACTTTCCTTAAAATTCCAAACTAAATGTGTGAATTAGTAAGATTTCATCAAATTTTACCATGAGTTGGAAGTTTGAGGTTCCGGTGAATTTTGTCTGGAGGAACGCAATGATTTCAGTAGTTTTGAGAACCGACTAACACCAGTTAGTGAGTCTATGGGCGCTTTTTGCTCTATGAGTTCAGCATTTTTCGATGAATATTGAAGATTTGGAGTGTCACTACGAAACGACCATCGACCACTCTTGTAAGCATTGCTAAAAATATATGATATCAATGTAGCAGGTCAAATTGGTGGAGAGACAATAGACAAATCTCCCTTTTACTATGAAACAAACGTCAGCCGTTTTACCACCTGGGAGGGAAATATTGCGCTCTCAATTAAATTCATCAAACATTCCATTTGCAAAATTCTTTCCGAGGAATTTTTCATCATGGAACATTATACTTTTATTAACAATAAATAAGTTTCCAAAAGTGAACGAACAAAAAATACACCTCACTGTTTTCGGTCGAATAATATCACTAGAATTACACATCTGAAATAAAAAATTGTTCCAGTTACTTGTAATGAGTAAAGTTCTATGAGTACCTTTCAAGAACTCTCAGTCATTTGCTAAATTATCATTAGATTTAGCCTAGTTAATCAGTAGAATTCAGGACAATTTCTCGAAATATTAAAACAAATCAAAGCAAAAGCTCAATCCAACCTGATCATATATTTCTGGAAGAGAAGTTTTTCGCCGCAGTAAACTTTTTTTATCCACCGTCTTATTTTTGTTATACGTGTTGTACGTGTCCACTGTTGGGAAAAATTCAGTCTGTTTCGCCGATGGAAGGAACTGGATGACGCCACGTGGATGTCCGCCTAATCGAGATGCAATGCCGGATTGACGAAGACTTTCTGAGCTAGAATCTCCCTCCACTGGACAATCACTTCGTCTATCAACCATTTCAACTGAAACAGATAGAAGAGGATAAAAGAAGAAGCATATTATTTAATTAATGATTGAAATAAATATAACATTATTTCTGGTTAAAGCAAAGACATTAGTCGAGGAACTGGAGTAGAAATAGAGAACTGCGGATTACATGTCTTACTAGAAGATTGAACCACTAATGGTTTCATCCAACTGGGTCAAGTAAACTATGACCATAACAAGGCTCAGAAACTTCTCTTGAATGGGCAGGAAATTACTTGACTTCAATAAATTAAGTATTCTGATAAGTAATAACATTTCCAGTGGACCTTATTTCAATAGAAATTTCCGAAAACTCGAATTTTAAATTTAACATATATGTATATATAGCCAAACACATCAATAGATGTTTGATATTTGTTTTATTTGATAGTAATAAAGCCTAAAGATGTTTTTTCAAATCATTGATTAGTATAAAAAGATGCCATTTATATTCGTTGATTCTGATGGGACTTTCAAGACACGTTGTAACGACTGGATACTTTGGGCTGCATCACGCAACTCTTCGATGTCTGTATTGATGATGTCATCTTCGGATTCTGATTCTTCCATTTTTGGTACTAATTTCTGTCGATGAGTTTGCCAAACCTTAAATAAGTTCCCCTGTTGTTTCAATGACATAATTTGAATATAAGCATGAGGCAAAATAAAATTTACTAACTGCTTTGGATATTTTCACGAATTTTCGTCAAAATTTTAATACATATTAGCTTTCCTTATTTTGCAAACAGTCTCACTGCTTAGATGTTTTGCCTTTATTTTCTCGAATATGTTTATTTCCTTGTTTCACTTCATGAGACAATATTTTTCGACTTCCCAGAATCAACTCACTCACCTCATGAGCACTTGAACTTTGGTTACAAGGAGAAATAGGGAATAAGTCCAACAACTGGCGGATTGCATCCACATGTGCCTGAAATGCTTGACGCAATTAGCAAGCAATCATAAAGTTTTCAGAAAAATATTCAAATGATTTCAATGTCAATTCAGTGCCTTCACTATTTCCAATATTTGTAGTAACATGAATTTCCCACGTTTTGACAGGAAAACGAATACATAAAGCGTCACGTGGTTGCAACGTTCGTTATCATCGATTGAAAGAAATCCTTAATTTCGGGGAACTTTTGAGATTTCGGAAAACAAAAGGTATTTAAAAACGTATAAATGTGTACTTGTTGTGTTTGTTCAAAGCTTGGCATACTGTTTGTTTTCCGTAAACTGTCTTTGTGTTCATATCTTGGCGATACGTCTGAAGAACTAAAAAGTTACTAAAATTCAATGAAATGATTTATTTTTTCCCTTATGATCTTGTCAACTTATAGAAAAATAATAGAAAAATAGAAAAATAATGCTGACTGTAAAATTCTCGACAATTAGAGACGAATACATGTTAACTATAGAAATATTATTATTAAAGCATCTCAAGCTTTGCTTTTCAAATTCTTGACTTTCCATCCTACCAAAAAATTCGGGAACTAATGTTTGGATATTAAAATTTTTCCTGAAAACTTCAAAAACATACGCGATCCGTCAGGTCGTCTTAGCAACGAAGCCTGTTTCTGCGCCATCAAATTCATTTCTGAGCGTCGCCTGAACAAATTTATTTATTTCAATAGTAAAATTATTATGTAATTCTTGCTGACACTGACTGATGAAACTTTTTAAAAGATATCGATATTTAAAAGACATTTTAAAGGATATGCAATTTTTAAACATTTATACTTATTTTTGACAGGTTAATGACCAGCAAAAAAGCATTCCTTTCAGGATGATGACGATTTCAGCAATTAATCGCCTATGCAACAAATTTCCGCGAATACTCGAACACTATTCCGAATTCGATACAATTGCAAGCATAACATTACTTTTCCAGACTAATTCAAAATTCGATTTCATTAGACTGACCATCATAAAATTAGCTCTTGTAATTGGCATTGCTATAGGTGTACTTCTTAAACTTATGAGACGTTAGGTTTTGTTACCTATAAACTATACAATCTCTGCCCATTGAAATGACTAAAAAAGATTGGAAATGTTTCGAAGTTATCTTTTTAACAAATATATTCAATTTGTAAGTATAAGGAATATAAATGTAAAACCAGTCGTTGACATTGGAAAAAAATCACTTTGCAAATATTTCAGTGTTTTCACAACTGTGTTTCTGATGCACGGTTTTTCGGAATGCTCATTTGCATTCATAATACAAATTAAACCTGCTCTTAGAGTGATGCCTGAAACGAGTTCCTGCTGCTGGTGACACAGTTGCACTTCTTCTACGCAGCGGTTTGCGATAGTTGGGCTCATCAGATAAGGAATCTGATTCATCTGCTTCATTCTCTGTGATTCCCGACTTCTCCATTTTATTCGCTGAATCCAGAAAGAATTAACGTCACCCACCGGAGCGGACTTGCCCCTCTTTCTCTTCAAGCAAAATTTTTGTAACTGAAATAATGAAAAACTCATTTTTTTTAAAGCAGCAAGGTTGCTAATATATACGTCAAAACACTTTCAGACAGTTTCATCAAGAAATAGAAGCAAGAAATGATTTAATTCCAAATAACTAAATTTTAATTCAGCTTAACGCTATGAAAGTGTTCAGCCAAGCCTAAGAAAGGAAGAGTTACGAATTTAGTACTGCATAATATGCAATAACTTAAGTGATAAACAAAACCGCTTCGTTAGGAATAAGTGATTACATTATTGTCAAGAAAAGTATAATTAAATTTTCATTTATCGGAGTGAACTTCAACCTGTTTTAAACTTGCCATTTTTTTTTTAAATCCTTGGAAAATATTGAATTTATCTCTTCCACTAGAGATGAAAGAGAAATTTAAGCATATTGATAGTTTTTGATAAAATTGATATATTCTCTGGTGACATTCGGATTTCTTTGAGTTTCTTCTGAAGCTCGATATATCTAAGTTACAACTAATTTGGTGATATACTAACATAACACACTTGCTTGGAAGAAAACTTCTGGAAGGAACAATGTTTAATGAATTGGAAATAATTTGTCCGAAAAAAGTTTATGATTTTGGATCAGATGAGAAAAGTTGAAATATTTCGATTTAAATTGCGAGAGTTAGTTTGAGAAGACATTTATCTAACTATTCATCCAATCAACGATCTAGCTACCCACTTCATCACTCCATAATATAACTTTGAGTTCGAGATGAAGCTCTTCGCCTCGTCACCTGATGTTTGGCTTTTGAACATTAACATACATATCAATATAAATGATTCGCCGAACCCTAATGGAACTCTCGAGCTTTTAAAAGTTGATGTAAACAGGTTTTTGTGATAATTTGAAATTGATCTTCAATAGTTCCACTTGCTAAATTCGAAGTATGAAGAATGACGATTTTCGCTTTTTTATAAAGACCGAAAATATCACAGTTGTTTCCAAAAGGAGTTAAGGATTCAGTTTTGTGTCGTAAAATTAGAGATTCGAGAGAAGTGTTACTCGTAATACTTCTCTTCCTGTTTTGAATTACTTTATTGGCTGGTCTGTTACCTTTGAGCATCATAAAATGTAATATCTGCACTTGAACGTTTGCTCATAAAGTCTCTTTGTATACTTTTTATAAACTTGAACGGAAAAAGTAATCCATATCGAAAATGAAAAATAATAACGACTTATGCAAATCCGAACATTTCCGTTAAGTCTAAAGATATATAAAGTGAATGAGAAGTATTTTTCATTCATTTCATATACTCTTGAATGTATAAATTCCGGATATTACTTTTAACGGAATGATAAGGAAGGGAAGATATCAGAAAAACAAGGCATTTTCAAATGAATAAACAAAGCCAATAACAGAAGAGAGCAAATTTATTTAAACAACAATCCTACCAACATATGAAGCAGATATGTGAATGACAACTGAGTCGAGCAGAGGTTGGCAAGGGGGTTGTGTCGATCGGAGAACGAATATTTGGAATCTTATTTCAAAAGCGCGTAATGAATGAGTATTACGGAAGCATACAGATGTGAGGGACATCATAGGAGTAGTAGATCGGAAGAAGCAACTCTGGCCTGACATATGGCAAGGATCAATCACAAGAGATGAGCTAATGCTTAATAGATGTTTCTGGTGTTCTTGGAAAAACGAGTATCATCATGTAAGGTGAATTGATCTAGTGGTAAAATTGCAGAGCTATTTGTGAAAAAGGTAGCATGAAATGGAGATGTGAAGTGTGAAAGTTCATAGGACAGATTTGGCTAATTCATGAAATTAGAAGGGGACATATATTGTGAGATTAGAATTTTTCTACAGTTTGTCCCTCAGATACAATCGTCATGAATTGTTGCGGAAAGTGGGAATAAAGTAGTTGAATGAATAACAACCATCCTAAATTCCGTTTGCTTCCTTCAGCTGCTTTCCGGAAACAAACTGCTACTGTTCATTTCTATTTGACAGATTAAAGGAAACGATTAAAATTGATTTCGTGATTGATTGAGGGGAATCCGTTGCCCTTTTCTGAGTACTGTTTTGTTTTCTCTTGTTAACTGTTTACAGTGTCCAAATACTTCTTTTACAGAAATATCTGCCACCAACTTAAAAAGTTTAAGAAGTGATTGTAGCTTGATGAGTCGAATAGACAACAACTTGATAAGAATTGTCCACGTAATATTTCACGAATAATACCACAAATCACATCCCGTTTTATTCCTGAATACTGCATTATTCACATCTTTCCCCCTTGTAGTACTGAGTAATTTCATTTTTTTTGAAAAAAAGAAAAAAGATGAGAAACCATCAGAAAACGGTCGCACAATGTATCCATCAATGCGCTACGAGTTATATCCTCATTCATTCATTCACTTCCTTTCTTAACCTTCTCTTCTCTACAACTCCTTTTCCTGTTTATACCTGTTCAGCGTGTTCATAATGACTTCCCACTGAAACCGTTCTAGTGTAAAATTAACATTTGACTTGCGTAAAACACCTCTGTCATGGAAACGTATGCAAAAAACGTATTTTTTTCGCTCCAGGGTTCAAGCGCTCGAAATGTGATGAATCCATATTTGGAATGCATTCATACACACCACATTTTTTCTTGCATATACTCATTGATATCTCGAATAATAAACGAGGAAGTAGTTTAGGAAAATTTTCATTATATCACCAAGGGCTCAGGATTTCCAAATTAACTTAGAAGAGTGTGTAGAGAACCAATAAATATTCCGACTTCAACGACATATCACTCCAGTCGAGACCCAAATCTGGACTTGAATTTCAGATATTATACAATATAATTTTTCAGTGGAATAGACTAACCAAACCAAGAGAAATAATAGTTTCACAGATGAGTTCCTTGGACAACTAGGAATGCACATGTATGCTTCCAAATTCGATCTTAATCTTTTAGACTGGCTAGATAAATACTATATGGATATCACTGATTTATCGCCATCGCTCCAAAAACATAAAAATAATGAACATGTTAGTGTTTCATAATTATAATCTAAAGAAATTCTGAAGGTAATATATATGACCGAGCAGTTTTTTCGCCCCACTGCCTAAGCGAAATCAACAGACATGTCACCAGGAGTATACTTTTTTTTACTACAATAAGATGAAACAATATAAATCTACATATATAAAAAAACAGTCTGCGTAGAAATACAATTTAATAATATATAACAGGTATTTATGGCTACAATAGTTTATGAAAAAATTTTTACAAACTAAGGCATACAACTTTTGGAAATATGGCAGCTACGATTTACTGGTCTTGCGTAGAAGCAAATCAGTCTTAAAACAACTAAATTATGAAAGATAGAGAAAATTTACATTGAATAGAAAATTAAAACTCCTGTAAACTGAAATGCTCTCTAATTATGTATTCATTTATAAAACTAAAAACAATAAGCATGAAATGAAGATATCTAGACTTATTACTTGGGAGAGGTGCTGCCATCATTATGTAAAGGTTCACTTTCATCATTGAGGTTGAGAGTCCAGTTGTCACTTGCGATATCTACATTTGACGGAGAATATCGTTGACGAAGTTCTATTAACTCCAACGTATTTGATCCTCTTTTACTCTAAAGAATACTGACTAGTTATAAAAAATAGAGGAAATTTACACTGAGTAGAAACTCTATAATAAACTCTACAATAAAATTTTATTCTATAATAAAAAATTTATTCGTTGTGATTATGATGCCTAATTCATTGTGAATATGAGGAAAATAATTAGCTGTTTCACTTACTAGTTTTAAATCATTTACTCGTTAGTTGTTCCATTTACTCGTTTTAGAAGTTTAAAAGTCTTAATTTTCGCTAATAATTAATATTAAATGACCTGAAGCTGTTTCGAACAGCAAGGTGCCTCGTGATTAACATCATAAGCATCCAACATAAACAGTTTTTGATCATGAAATTCCCGGATCATTTCGGACCGTAAAGTTCCTGACATGTCATCCTCGCGCAATACATATTCCGGGAGAGAATGGAATGACCGGATTCGTCGATGCGTTTGGATGTCTAACTCACGCACTGAATCCATCAAGATAACTTCTGGCTCCTATAAAAACAGGGAAAGGAAACAATCTCGAACAAATTTTGCTACCCACAAATGAAAATCGAATTCTATGAAATTCAGGTCTTTTTGGAAAGTTTGTAGGATAATTTGCCATAATTAAATTTCTTAAGTTTCTCATTTCTGATGATCTGCAACTCTCAAAAATGCGTTGTAACTCTCAGAAATAACATTGGCCAAATAATCTCTATTAAACATGAACGGAATTTCTGTATTTGCTGTGGCTGAATCAAATGCATCAAGTAATAAACTGAATGATCGGTACGATTTAATCATCACTCAGAGATTTAAAATGGCGAACAGAAAGAAAAAAAAAAGAAAAAAAAAACATTAGCTGCTTGATTTCGCTCCTTCATCATCGTGTAAAATAAAAGGAATCCGAAACAGAAAAGTGATTCGTAAAGAGTCAAATACAACTCACGCAGCGTTTTATTACATAGATATGAAGTTTTTATAAAACTTACTGGTTTCATGAATAACTGAGGATTATCAGCAAATTTCGCCACAAGCTTATTCAGATATTGCTGTTTCACTTTATATTTATGCATCAAACTCAAACGTTGATGCAATGAGAACATTCTGAGACGATTTACTTGACGCTCATAACCCTCCCAAAGCTGTTCAACTCGTTTCGAGCCGTAATCTCGCAGTTTGCACATCTGTAAGTAAAAAATTTATTGCAGGACATTATAAGTCAACTTTCCAATATGAAGATACGTCAGGGAAATGCGCCGATCCGCAAGATCAATGTTACAGAAAGTTTCAATAGAAAAAAGAGGGACTGATTCAAAATTGAACATGGGAGCTCCTGTTAAAGAATAAGTCGTTGCGTCTACAGGTGAAGTTGAAGCATTGAACCTGTACTACAAAAACTGTTTACTTCGCAAATAAATATGCGATCTATCTAGAACCTTCTCCTATAAAGGGTTCTGTCCTGTTTAACTAAATCAATGGTTTAATAGTAATCAATGATTTAACAGTAATTTTATATATTACATATATAGAATTTGATAATCTTGATAATCATCACAAGGAAACTATGTAGTAATAAAGATTAGTAAATATTGCAGCGTTCCGACAGAACATGAAAGAAGATGGTAATTCAAACTACTTCGGTATGTCGATATTCAATAATACATCCAATAATTAAACAAAAAGTAGATCTAAAAACGAACTTGAGATAAGCTCATTTTCCTTACAAGAATAATAACTTGACAGGTAACTTATTCTAACCTGCTGACTGTAATTGTCGCGTATATTTTCCAAATGATGATTCATGCTTTCCATTTGCGCTGCTCGATAATCACGAAATCTCTCTGACTGTGATGTATAGGACGAGCATAGCTGGCCAACCTAAAGTAAAGAACCAAATGATTTTCGTCTCATAAAATGGCCGAATGCTCCCTTATGAAACTTCGTAAAATACACATATCATCTAGTGCGTATGGAAAATTCCAAATGCCAAGTGAGCTTATCTCTAAATTACTAATTTTTTATGCAAAATTAAGAATAAAATCTAAAAATAATTTCGAATAAAAGCCCTACTCAAATCTATGAGCCAGGTAATTTACCTGTTGGCGATAATTGTCTCGTATTTGCTCCAATTTCTTATGATATGTTTCAGAAAGCATACACATTTGCCGTTGTCTATACCTTTCTACAGCAGCGACCATTTCACGAACATGTGAATTTCGCTCTGCAATAGGATTTGTGATATATAATACAAATAACAAAATTGAGTGTTATCTTTTAAGGATTATATAATAGCTTTATTAAAATTAGAGGTGGGAGAAAAATATTTGTGTTCACCAATTCTTTTGATCCACCATAAACCAATATGCCGACAGGTGATCCAGAGTAAATTGAATATGAAAGTGATACTACAAGTAATCACTGCAGCCAGGATGCTGCCCCAAAACACCGACTTCACCATCTCCAAACGGAACCAACTTGAATAATCCAAACGGAAGTGTACTAGTTGTGAAGCGTTTCCCTACAAAATTGACACCAGATAGTGGAGTCAATAAAACTCAAGTGACCAATTTATTTGTGCATATTTGAGTTTACTTTGAGAGTAATTCATCATACTGATAATGAAAAGCGTGATAGTATGTATAGTAAAAAGCTTTAACACTATTGATAAGGGTAATTAACTGACTTAACATAATTAAACTTGGAAACGAATACGCCGACTTTTCACTGACGGTTTTGGGTAATAAAAAACATCTAATAAAGATTATATAAATATGTCTCATTTTGCTGCTTTCAATTTTAGAAATGTAGATGTATGTCAAGAAGTATCTATAAACTTTTGATCTGTACTCAGTGAAAGATGGAGTACCAAACAAAAATACTACCTTTTCAAGTTAATAAAGCAAAAATGAGGATTTTAATTACAAAGTATTTTTCTGTCATGAGTAAAAAGCCTACTTTTAAATTCGACACCACACATCTGTATCGCTCGACCAATTCTTTTCGAGCAATATTGATAAGAAGGAGTCCGCCAGGAATAATTTCATAAGTACCATTCCGACTCCAATTCATTATAATAATCCGATTCTCGAAATTATAACTCCCAATCAAAACCTTGGGTTTAACTAGCCACCATTTAATGAACAATGGTAGCTCACCATATGCATCACATGGCAGAATTGCTGCTTCTGCATAAGGAACTCTTAAAATATATTTAGCACCTTGCTTAACTCGCTTCGAAATACCTGAAATAATGCCTTTTGCAAGAGTTCAAAAAAGTAGGAATCAAAATCAGATTTTGAGGACAAAAAATACAGCAAATTCTTCCAGTTTTTCCTACAAGAAACTTTGATGACCTCGCTGAATTTTCAATACGTAATGACCAACTTTCGGAAATGCGTACAGTTTCAATGCTTCATCGGATTATTTGCTTTCATCAGCAGTTAGTATTAGTCAATTTCAACCAATATTTTCCTTTCATGAATCGCTATGAAAGCATGCAAAAAAATGACGATAACTAATTACACGAACAGTGCCATATGCAATTTCACTTTTAACTCAAAGTTCCAAATCTTGATCAGAATCTTCATTACTGTTCGGAAACAAACCTAAAGAGCAGTTATTAGGCAAATCATCTGCACAACCCATCTGTGGTCGCAGTTTGAAAGGTAGCATCTTTGCCCACTTGTTGAGGCAATTATCACAGCTCCAATTATTTGGCATGATCTCAACAAAACGAAGACTTTTTGCTCTGGAAAGGTAATAAAAACAAGGTGACAAAAAATGATACTGTTAACTCCTTTATCATATTTCTATCAGAAAACCTTGCAGAATTTAATTCGAGCCGAATATCAAATTCCAGTGCAAGAAATATTTCATAAAATGTGAATTTATTGATTAATAAAGGATCCCACTGGAAGATCAAACTGTTCTGGTGATAGTTATAACTCCGTCAAGAAAAGGAATGTCAAGCATGGAAGGCAAAAGTTAAATACCCTGTTTGGATTTCATTAGAATTATAAATTCCACAGAAAAAAAAAATATGGGAAGAACCTTATGAAGAAATCTGGCGGCAGATATCTCATTTGTGTATTTGTCAAGCGGAAATCCCTTACTCTGGTAGGTAACATACCAACAATGCTATGTAATCGGAAACTGTTCCTCAAATCCAACTGAAACAAAAAATTGCGAAACACTGCATAGGTGTAAATATAAACAATCCAATATCAAACTAGACAATATAAAATTTCATTCAGCTGTTGAAATTTGAATTAGTTATGATATCCATAAAAAGAGCGAGACGGGACCGAATCGAGGAGAATCAGGGAGGGAGAAATTTCATAAATTAGTGATCTCTTATGTTCCAAAATTTTACGGAAAATAAATATATTTGAACCAGATTGAAGCAAAGACCATAGAGATTATTTCTTCAGAACTAATTCAAAACAAAGCAACAGTTCAATATGCAATATACTAGTCGTGTAAAAAGATAACAAGTAAATGGGATATTACTAGCAGATATTGCAATATATGTACTAAAAAACGCAAAATTCTATATTCAAAGTTTAATAAAAAAACTAGAAATTAAAACTATTTAATTTTAGTAAAGCTCAATGAGTGAAATAAAGTGAAAATTGTACTTCTACTCTTTGTCTTAATAAAATATCTCAAAAACAAAAGTAAACAAACCTTTTGCAGTGAAGGTAAGTTAACCGAATCGAAATCAATAAAAGTCAACTTGTTGTACTGCAGTGACAGATGCCGTAAATTCAGTGAAATGGATAATGGTAAAACTGTTAATCCACAATTATCCATGTTTAAATTAGATAACTGAGGGATTAAGGAAAGCGAAGGAAATCGTTCCACTGAAGGATTATTCGATAAATTTAAATCTTCTAACGAAAACGGCCATTCACCATATATCCGTATCAATCCATTTGAAGATACATCCAGCGATATTACATTTGGCACCATAGATAACTCTGAAACCTGAAAAACTGAAAAGTTCAATTGGTATTCATGGACTTTTCTAGTATTACAAGTATGATATGCCAAAAACTATGCTTTCGTTGCAAATTGTAAATACAATTGATATTTGGGACTTGGTATCTGATACTAAAACAAGACTAAATTCGAGAGAGGGTAATTATTGTGAAAAGCTAGTGCAAGTGAAAAGAAGGAGCATGTAATAAGTTACAAGCGCTGAAAGGTATAAGTGATGATCATATCGTGCAGGAAACAAAAAATCAAATTAAAGGAAGTAAAATGAGCTTATTTTTTCCATTAATATCGATTTGAAACTGATACAAATGGACTGTCAACTCCGGAATTATAAGAATTTATCGTTATCTGCTATTAGATAGCTACTGATGAATAAATCAAACATTTAGTTTAGATATCAGAAATTATGATGAAAGTCCGGAAACGATTAAATGCACATAGCAATAGCTCACTTGATTGAACGATAAACTGAGGTGTTGCAGTTTGTTGACTACACACTGGTCAGTATGAGATAACTTGGAGAACCAATTACGCGACAAATCAACTATTTGTAACGACGATAATTGATTCAGGACTATACAAATTTCATTCCAGTTCCACAAATAATTGCGACTCAGATTCAGAACACGCAAACTTTGCAGAGAATCCAAAGCAGACGGAAAAAGTTGTTGTATATTACAGTCATGAACTGCAATGCTACGCAGTGAAGTAAAGTTTTCGAATATATGCAGATTGAGATGCTTCTGCAAAACGCAATTAAAATTAGCCAAGTGCTTCAATACTTTAAATTAGCTGCTATTTTATTGTTACTGAAATAATTACAACATTAATATCCATCTTGTCTTATCATGACGGATAACAACAAAACATCCAAAATGGCTCATCACATCTACCTGAAACTAACCGTAATTGTGTTGTATCACAATAACGTTCAGTGTAATTTAAATTCAGTGGGGAAATGAGCAACCTGCGAGCACTTAGTGAAGGAAATATTATGGGCGTCTGGTACCAGCTTGAGAATATGCTGATCAAGTCCATCGGGCTCCACATTGAAGCATGCTATCGTACTACTTTCGCAAAGACATCCATATTTTCGGCACGGATTATCGACTATTAATGTTGCCTGAACCAACAAGAAATGTTAGAAATATTATAATGATCATATTTTCAAAGCAAATATGGAACAAGAAGTCATCATTCTCAAGAAATCTTGCAATGAAGAACAAGCTTAATCCATAAATTCTTGATTAAAATTCCATATTGTTAGCAAACTTTCCGGTCAGTGAGTTGGGAGAATCACATAAACTGAAATTCTGCTGACAGAAAAGTTATTTGAAAATTATTTTTACAAAGTTGTAGAAGTCGACCAAAAAGTCACTTTTTCTTCATCCGCGTGAAACACTGCTTCACTTTGGTGATCAGTGCAGAAAACCAAAAATATGCATATATGTACGATGATTATCAAACGGCATATTATGCACTGTGTTGCGACATGCATTCTGCTCTTTCCTTAACTCCTTTCTCGATTAGCAGTAACAGCAGCCCTGCACAATTATATGGAAACATACAATAGCTGAGACCCACAACAACAACTTCAACTGGAGCCTGGGTTTTGGTTGTTATGATGTACAAGACTATGTATTCAAAGCTAAGAACAATATGATTGTGCATTAGATGGCCAGGTAGTAGTGATCAGATGAGATACGGTTAGTTCATATTACATTATAAAGGGGGACATGAACTGCGGTGTTACGTAGAACCGCTGATAAACTTGACGTCACTAATCACCAATAACATAGGAAAGGCTTCTGACCAACACTTCCATCCAGTCTCCACTTTTGCTAACAGTATTTCAACTTCATGTTTCATGGATTGTTGCATGTTAAATTATGATACTCATTGTCATCTCCGAAGTCTCCGCCACTTAGTGATTCGTTTTCTGTTACAACTTGCATCCCACTTTCTTCCCTTCTCACCCCTTCTGCATACAGCGAAGATGTGGGGAAGATTTTGGTTTATGATCGGTGTGAGACTGGTTTGTGCATCCATTTGCAGGACATTTGTTTGTCTTTTCAGGTCATGTTATGCATATTGAAGCCACTCGACCTGCTAACGGAATGTTCTGGACAGACTGCTTATTGGCCGAGACAGTTTGTCACGGCTGTGGCTCTTTTCAAGAAGAAAAGTAAGTACTTTAGTGTTATCAAGGAAAACTATCGTCCTTAGAATGTTTCCGTCGCTGTTGGATATATTTCACCCTTTCACTAGAATTGTTAGTTAAGGTGCTACATTTTTTGGCAGATAGTTTTTAATACCATCAGTTATGAGGTTGTAGCAATTTTCAGTCGATACTAAACTTCATGGAGATACGACAGTTGTTGAAGTTGTGGATATTCCTGATGCAGATGACCGCAAAGTGTTGAAACATAGCCCAGAAACTTGTACGTTATGCACTTGTAACGTTCCCGTCAAGGTAATTTCTGTATCGAAAATTTTGTCGGTGTTCAAGGGAATTGTCTTCATATTAAGGCTGAATTCGAAGCAGTGCGCTTGCAGATCCGTTATTCAGATGTACTAATTTTGGAACAGTTTATGCGCAAAGATGGAACCGTGCTTCCGCAGCAACTTACTGGTTTGTGCAAGAAGCAACAGCGGAGGATTGAACGTTGTGTTATGCAGGTACACTGCAGTATTAAAACAATGTTAAAGTTATGGTGAAAATGCCATATTCATCCTGTTATCCGTAATTTCCACGGAAAAGTGACTAGCATTCAAGTTTTTCTTTTTCTTTTTTTTTTTGTGGTAAATTTATCCTTTTTACTGGAGCAAACTTGCAGGCTCACTGGGCTGGCCTCTTTCCAGACAGGACGACTGCCGATTTCGATCGTTCGGGATACAAACGATTTGCGAGGTATTGTTCATCTTTCGGTTTATTACTAGGAAACTGTAAATTAGTCAGGTTTAAATACTTTTATTAAAATCTGTTAACGATCTCTCGGAATTTTCTCTTTGATCTTTTGCAGATTCTTGTGTATGACCAAACAGATATTTGAGCAAATTAAATACCAAAACGAGTTTAAGATACAGCGAAGGAGTTATCATTAAAAGGTGGACCTATATAAGAATAAGTCATATTATTGCATTATATAGGTACTGGAACGATGATATGGATATATATCGATTGAAAGAAGAAGTCGTCCCCGGTTCATGGTACTATATTAAACGGTATAACACACGTGGAGTTAGTTTCAAAAAGAATTGAATGTCAAATGTATTAAAAAGAAAGTAGGTTCTCAAGCAATTTAAATTAAAATGTGTAAGAGAGAAATGTCCAGCGATTTTCAGTGATTTTTTGGATCAGGTTTCAGGCAAACAGCTTCGCTTGCAAAGCTTAAATGAGTGGGAATAGAAATAGTACAAAAACCAGCCTAAATTACCCTCAAATTATGCCACTTAATAACTTCTACATTGAACAAATAATACGTAACAAATAATACGTATAAGATTTTGAGAGCTACAGGAATATGGTTGACCGTATATTTCTGTAATAATAGCAAAAATATGTGTAACGCAATACAGTTGCTGAATGTTATCAGCAGGTTGCGACATTTGCACAACTTGCTGCACCTTTGCCTCATGACTTGTAAGTACTGTGGTTCTAAACCGAAAAGTTAGCTAGGTCATTTTCCTCACGTGTTTTTTTCTGTTCATTGCACTATGAACTTTTTATTTTGTGACTTCCGTTTTGTTATGAATAATAAATATAAGCAACCTGTTTATTACTATATAGTTCGGTTAACGAATACAACAGCATCACTAAATATACAAGATTTTGACTTTTTTGTCATAATCAACCGATTTTTTTTCTGAAGTATAGAAGTATGCTGGTGTCTTGTCAGACTTTGGTTCAAATTCCCCACTTTCGAGTAGTTTAAGCAGTATATTCTTAAGGTAAAGCTAACTGCTTTGATGTTGGTGTTTTAATAATGTCAGCGTTCTTTTCTGCCAGCGTTTTATTCATAAAGGATCTCGAAAGTCTGAATTTCTCTTGAGCTTGCTTCCTCAGCAAATTCAAGATATAGGGTGTTGTTAAGGTAATGCAGCAATTGAGTCAGTGAAATGATGCTATCTAACATATTATATTCCATAACTAAGCTTCAGGTTTAGCCCTCATTCAGTCGAATGGCTTATATGTCTCATGTTTCACGAATTTCACGTGCAAAAAAATTTGCAAAATGCATAACTTTTGTTCAAATTTTACAGCATTAGTGTAGACCGAATCAAACTACAGAAAAGGACGGCTCAGACCTAATTTCATTTTAGCGTTGATTGAATATTGGCATCGATGTATGATTGTAAAGCCCTTGAGCCATCAGGTGCAGGGCTAGTATAGGTCGATGTCCGGATGCTTTCTTCAGCTTTGCTCGTTTATTCTGAAAGAAATCCTTTTTAATTAGAAGGTAAAAATTGATGTTATTTCGAATGCAAAAGTCGAGGTATTGTCAAAGGATGACTCGAATTTTGTAAAAAAACAATGAATTGGAGGTAAGGAGGAGATAATCAAACTTGCAATTCTGGAAACATAAATTTTTGATATTCTCAAAAATTCCCCATATTTTTTTAAAAACTTTCGAGTTTTGGGAAATTCTGAAAGCATCCCTTTATTTCTTTATTCTTTTGAAATAAGTAATGAAGCATACATCATGATGTCGATCTTTATCGATAGGATAGCAACTAGGAAGTGATCATAGTGTAAAAGTTGTAAATTAATAAATCAGATCGGTTCATGTAGCTCGGACGAAATGCATTTGTACATAATCATAAAATTGCGTCGTATAACCTTACAGAGAAAATGATGGGCAGAGTTCAAGCGGTCGAAAATACAAAAATGCTCCACCTGATTCTTTTTCCAAATATTTTGAATGACGAAATTTTTGAAGATTTTTATCGATAGTATGATAAGTCAATATTACTAGAAACTGACGGGTTGGTTGAAAGATTTCAAGGTTAAATTAGGTTTCGGGATTTTCTACTGAACCAGAAGTGACTTAATATTAAATTTAATTGATAAAAAGTTTAGTATCCAGTAGTCTGTAACCATTAAAAACAAACGATTCGAAAATCTCATCAAAATTCAATGAATCGGTTGGAACTGCAAAAAATTCAAATTGAGTTGGTCGTTGATTAAACATTTTTTCCCTCCTCTTATCAAATCAATGGGTATTAGTTTAAGATACGTTAAGAGTAGTAGCGATAGGTAATTTTCTCGCATACGTTTAATAGCGATAGGTAGTCTTCCCGCATATATTTCGAACTTCCTGATATAAATGGAAAGATTTCTCTTGCGCAAATGGATTTTTCTTGTGCAACATTTCTATTTTGTAAATTTTTTCTATCAGAGTTTAAATCTCTTTGGGATTCAGTGATATTTGTTAACTTTGAAAATCATGTAATTTCTTAGTGAAATACTTCGTGTTGGAAGTAAGCCGTAACTTATCCAATTAACGTTCTATCTCACTGGTAGATTTTCTTCAACAAGGTCGGAATTCTGGACAGCTCATCAAGTAATTCTTCAATAAAACCTGTTAGTTTCGGATATGTCTAACGTAATTGTCATGATGATATGTAGTACTGAGTAATAAACATAATGAATGGGTTATATCATGTCAACAAGGACGGCAAAACCTATTTTATCGCTCAATCAGAGTTCGGTATTATCGTCTCCTTTTCGCTAAAAGATTGTAGCGATAGATAGTCCAGTTACTTTGCACCTTGTTATTACTTACCAATTAATATTTCTTTCTCATAACTATTATTAGACAGGCAATTATTCATAAAACACACGATATGATTTTCAAGAAAGCTGAGAAACTAAATCGGTACATCGAGTTGGGCCTTAGAAACAATCTTTTATGGTAAGATCAAACCAGGTGACATTAGAAATAAAGATGGTTGTAATGTATTAGTAAGAAAGTAAGGCTTAAAAAGTAGATTTGCGAACTATCAGGAAAGTGATGAATGAAAAATAATGCTTTTTAAAAATTCATGAAGAGCAAGAAATTATTGAACGGAAGATGGAAAAAATCCGTGAGAAAGAAATAGTAGAATCTGGAAAATTAGAACTGTACGAGAATTTGGCAATGTTTTCATTATGCGAGATTCGTTTCATATAAATTAGTAAGCTGTTTACATCAAGATGTTCTATAAAAAAAGCACAGAAATATTTCAACAGGTGACATGGGGAGGACTACTCAAGTTTCAAGCTGTGAATTTCTGAGCGCGACTGAACGGAATAAGTAGAGTTATCATGGGATGAAATAATTGTTTTATTTTATTGCAAATGAATCACTAGAACCTTGGCGGAAACTTCATCCACTAATTAAAAAATTAAATTGCAATTACAGGAGGGAAAGAGGGAAAAAGCTAGAAGAAAAAGATAAAGATATAAATCAACAACCGAAGAAAAAAATGAGAAATTAACGAGCAATTTTTTCGGTTTTGCTTTGAGAAAAAGAAAATTAACATGAACAACTACATAACCCCAAAGACAAGTTCTAAAGGAAATTGATTTTAGAGTGAATGTACACGTCCATGCCCATAGCGGCAAATTATACAGAAAGACAGTTGCAAGATTCGACTGCCTGATAATAAATAAATTCATCGAAAACGGTATTTGATGATTACAGAGCTTGGCGGAGACAGATCTTTGCCTCTTCCCGCACTTCCATATGCAAGAATATTATCCCTTTTCTAAATTTAGTTGGTCCAGCTTTCTTAAAAAAGGATTTGCGAGCTTGAAAAGATTAAGAATAATAATTTCACAACCTACCAATGATTGAACTCATTGTTAAAGAGAAATTTGTTACGCATGAGGTTATATTTTTCGAGTCCTTTTTACTCCTCTAATATCTAATTTTTGAAATTTGAGAAATGTAAAAGAAGAGAGACAGACGACATGACGAATAACTGGTAATACAATAACAGAGCGACTGCTGATAACATCACCGTCATCATTACAATTACTTCCATTGTATATGTAAAAGATGATGATCCATTGCATTTTAATGGATTTTTTCAAATTTGTATTAATGATAATCAGGTAATCAATCGTTTTACGCCCACCTGCCTGCTATGCACTTCCTATTTATCGTCCAAAAGTGATGTTTTACGGTAGTTTCAAAATATTTACCGTTCTTACGTATATTATAGATACCAACGCAGTTGCACAAAAGCGTGAGAAAAATCAAAGTGAGTGGATTGATCCTGATTATCTGTCCTCGAGACGTATTTGAGAAGCATCAATTGTTTTACCAAATGTTTATAGCTTCCGGACATTTACAGCAGAAATAAAACTGTGTGGTTTAAAATGTGTTTGATCCACACATTGCTATAATACTAAATGTTATGGTTCGTATTTTCAAAAAGAATTAATTGACAGGATGAATGTTTGAAAATATCGGTGACTTAGCTTGAAGAAAACTTAACAATAAACTTTATCCTAAAGGATGGACGAAATGGACGGAAGTCAATCTAAGAATGTTCTTGGATATGACTACAAATCCATTGTTTGGATTTTTAACTTTATCCACTATTTCCCAGAAGAAAAAATATGTGAAGTTGCCTTCTGGAAGAAGCACTCACAATCCCGCATTTACATTTCACCCTCGGTTACCACCTCACTCATCCCTCCTTCCTCATCTCTCGTATTCGAACTCTTTACTCCCTCATACATCCTCTGTTTTATTGTTTTTTATTTCTCATTAATTTCGAAAAATTCAAAATGTACATTTGGCCGAATACGAATTTTTGAAGACAAAGCATCCATCACACATTTCCTTTCCTCTTTGCTATCTCTTCAACAAAGTACACTGTCGATGAAATATTGGAACATTAGTGAGCATTAGTGAAATTCAAATTTCTGCTCGTACTGCAAGTTAAACACTCATCAATTCGTGTCATTGACAGGTGCGATTATAAAAAGGCACTTTTTTTTGCCGAGAAAGAATTCGGAATGAAAACAAAAACCGCTTGTTGTGAAGATAATGAACTAAAATACTTTTTCTGTTAATGATTAATAATTTGAACCGGACCAGAGATCGGTCCAACATGAAACCGTACGCATTTTCAGACGTGAAAAAAAGTGCTTTCTGACAAATGCAGAGCTAACCTGGAACCATATTTTGATTTGTGATTCGTTTAGACCAAGCTCATGTGCCAATTCCTGACGCCGTTTCTCTGTGAGATACCGGTTATCCATGAACTGTTGCTTCAACCGTTCCAGTTGTTCAGCAGTAAATGCTGTCCGTGGTCGTTTCTCATCGTCATTGAGATTTGTTTCTTTCCTTTTCGTCCGGCGTGATCTTGGTCCTTAAACAATCTGAGCTTATAAAAATAGTCATTACCAAATCAAATTGAAAAAATGCGAAATTCTGCATCATAACTTAACAATTCTACAGTAAGATAAAGTACTACAACAATCTCCAAATATTTGGAGGAATGATGCTGACGAGTTAAGGAAATTTGTAACCTTCTGATGGGAAGTTATCAGCAGTGATCAGTGATTATGGTAATTTGTTTAGCAATCATTCATCATGAATAGGTAGTAATTATAATGTCTGATAATTGTATTTGGTGATTATGAAATTGTTGTGATGGATGAATGAATGCAATAATGTGAACTCTGCATGCAAATTAACGTGCTTGTCAAGAAGGGGCATGAGAACAGTAAGGAAGTTACGCAACCGTATACCCCAGCCTTTTTTATCGATTATTATCTAAACTTGGAGCTTTTAACTTCTAGCAGAGCATGTGATAAAGCAAGTTTAAATATATACCTATCAGTCACGTGCATATATGCATACTTTATTCACTGAAGTGTCCGTACTATAGATTCCTCATTTGAAAAATTTTCAGATATACCTGAACTTGGTCGGTCGGAGTACCGAGTACAATATATCCAAGCTGGGAATACTGTATTTATATTGTCCGGTGTCGTTGATGCACATGGTTTTGGAGCCATCTTGTGTTGCTGAAATCCATACAACTTTCAGCATTAATGATCATTCTCAGGAGGAGTTTAATTGGCCTTATAAACACTCTTATATTTAGTCTTCCTATCCAAGGACGTGCAGAACCCTAAAAAGCCTTGAAAAAGAGAAATTGGGTATGTAGTGATAGTCAATATCTGTAAGGAAAAGTTAGGTGCTGAAATATTCTCTGTCATTGCAGCAATAATTGAATGTAATTTAAGATAAGATGTCAGAAGAGATAATAGAGATGGTAGTGGGGGTGAATTAAGATAGGTCTGATACAAATTAGATGGATAGTGTTAACGACACTTTTGTCACTTAGACAGAACTTCGGATTACGAAACGATGAGAAGATTTGTGAAGGAAATTTAGAAATTAGAGCACAAAAGATATTTAAATTTCCTGGTAAAAATACTGAGCTAAACTCTTTCAACCTAAGCAATTTTGCTGCACAAAAGAAATTTCGTGCTATTTTCTAGTCATGAAAACACTCTTACCTTACCAAAATCAGGTCTCAAAATATTCTGTATGGAGAATTTTAGTTTTGAATTCGTTTGATATGATTCTCCGTCACGACGTGATAGCTCCGGTGAAGAGAGGCCTTCGGAAACGGAATCTGATATACTATCCATCTGAAAAACAGAACGAATTTGATGATGCATAACGGATAGTGTTCAGAATTTACTGATCCTGCTGAATATTTATTTAATCAGTGATACCTCAATTAGTTAATTTCAGACTTTTTCGTGACCTCCATATTTGTGGGAAATGATTCGTTTTATTTTATAATATTATAATACTTGCACACTCTTCCTTATCGTCTTTTAGCCAAGCAAACATGGAATATGCAAATTCATGAAAAATAAACCTCAACATCGAAGAGAAGAAAAAGTTTTATTAGCCTACAAAATTTAGCGGTAAAATGGGAGTTTTCGTTGTTGACAAGAATTTTCCTCCTTTTCCGCCTTTTTTCTGTCAGTCTTCAGTGATAAACTATTGCGGCCGCCATCGTTATTTCGGATCAAAACTTGATGTTTATCTAAATTTGTATACTAATTTCGGCATTTTTTTTTTATGAATCGGTTCGAAAAATTCAGAAACAATTGCGCAAGCATTTATAAGTTAATTTGCAATAAAAGGAAATAGAATGGTAAAATTAATAAGGCACTTGTTGGCCAAAAGTGCTTATCCGATACGATAATTCTTGCATTTTTATATCCATTATGATGGTATTTAGTTACAGTCTTCTTAAGCTATCAACTTAATCGATCAAAGCACAACTTTAATGATTTAATTTTCCTGAATCTATGGTAATTTGTATTTTCATGAGGAAAAAGTTCAACGGTCAGAACAATGTACTTCATCCGCAAGCTATACATATCATAATGACTTCGAATGAATTTTAGTAAATAATATATGAGGAGCAACAATTAGGTAGAGAAGGTAAGTAAAGGACATCATTTCACCAACTTTTATACCTTAGTTTGGTCACAATGCTTCTCTAGTCTGATTGTCTGACAGGTCATTCAAAGTGGTCATTCAGCTTCCCCTCTCCTTAAGTGTTTCACAGTATCTTTTTCCCCCATAATACTCCTTTTTCTCCGTGCACCTCAACCTCCGGATCATAAGTCAAGCATGGATGGTCACATTTTAGCATTTCTCTCGAAAAGCTATAAATGTCGAGTTTAATTATAACAATAGCAAACAAAAAAAAAAAAAAAAAACAAGTGATTATAATGAAAAAGAAGAGGAAAACATCAGCTGTTAACAATTACAATAAAATGATAGTGATGCTGCTGATAAATATAACGATAACTATAATGATAATGATAAAGATAATCTCATAAATGACAGAAAGAATACATAACACAGTGATACAATGAAGGCGAAAGGAATCGAGGTTGTTATTTGGGAATTGTTAATTCAGTAATTTAGAAGGGCAATAGGCGCAACGTCCCTTTGTCGCTTCAATCTTTTCGTCCTCCTCGACCCATCCGATGGAAATTTGTCGTCACGCCTATTCTTTCCTCGCAACCCTCTATGACAATTCTACCGTATCCCATTCATTCATATAGCTTCCTCCTTCTTTTCCTTACCCCAAACCCTAAATTAATTGGTTTATTTACTGAAGACCCCGCCTCCTAAAGCTTAAATGAAGAGCAGTAGATGGAAGGGGAGTAGACAGGAGAATAATAAGCTTCAATATTGTCTGTCTTTGATGGGGTTGATTAAGTTAATTAAGTTGCATTTTGATGGATTTCCATCCGGTCTTCTCTTTCACCTATAACAATAGCCATTCCTTCTTTTCTTCTAACACTTATGAAATGATACTATTACTCACGAGATGGTCTTCAGTAAGAAGTCTTGTCCCTTTACATGACAATTAATTAACTGCTCACTCCTAACTTTAACAATTATCAAAGTAAACTGCTGTAAACGAGGGAGTAATTGGGTGATGCCTCCTACATCATTCATCCACCGTCAGTTTCTACACGAACTAATTTAACGCAGTTCTAGAAATCAATTAATTTAATCGTTTGCAGGTCTTCTGCACATCCACGTACACCTCCACACACAACACAGACACACACAGACAGACGGACAGACAGACAGACAGACACACACACACATATACCTTTCTTTGGATACATAGAGATGGAAGCATTGATGCTTCTTCATTTTTGTTGACTTTTCATTCTAGGAAACAGACAAATAGATGCTTCATCCATCCTCCTTTTATCTATAATTGGCGTAATTATTTACTGCGTACATTATGGCAATTATCGAGTGAAATTGCCTGGATTGTGCATAAATTAATGCGATTAAAGAGATTATTGTTACATTTGGGAAAAATGAATCCTTTAAATGACTAAAGTGAAATGTCTGAAAACTGAAAGCAATTCAGTAATTTTTCATCTCTCTTCACATTTTTCAGGATGCATACTTCTAAACAGGTCACTAAACACTTCCTGTTTTGCATTAATATCACTTCCTTTTCATACCATCTCCATCTCCATGTTTCTACCGTGACCTTTAACACTATTATGTTCCAATTATTTCAAACACAATGGATTTAAATAGAATTTAGAAGAAGACTGATCAGTTGCCAAGAAAAATAGTTCCACGGACATCTAAAGATAGAGAAACAAGCTCAATATATGCACTAAATTTCACAAATTAATTAATGTTTATAAATTGGTAATTAAAGTTTTCGTAAAAAACTTTTATGAATTTGTCCTACCTTCATCATGAATTCTCAGAAGTTTGTAGAAATTCGAATACTGCTAGTTACGGGAAATATAATTATCTGAGCAGACAAATTCAATCTTCCACACTCTTATTTCAACTAATTGATTTTAATAATTGTTCATTTTTTAATATGCATTTAGGGAGAGAAATAGGGATGGTGAGAGAGAAGCAGAGAAGTGATGATGTCAAAAGTCACTTGCTTTCTTATTTGATCATTGCTATCATCATCGTTATCGCTAACCTCATTATTACTCCAATTCCATCGTATCACCGATGATAACATATCATTATTCTATCATTATGATCATTGCTGCACCATTATCATATCGATAGTATGATCATTGTCGTCAGCATTTTGATTGTTATCATTGCCACCGACATGATTGTCAAGTGTTGCTGTTGTTGGATTTTATCAAATAATTTCATCAGTTTTGTTGCCGAAACGTGTAACTACTTCATTCGACAACACTTTTAACTGCATAAGTAAAAGACATATGCAATTGATACCATAATTTTGCAATTGGAAAAAATATTTTAAAAGTTTTGTTTATGGACTGAAAATTGTTATATGACAAAAGATATGGAGAGAAGGCGCGTGGGAAACTTCTATGGAGTTTCATTCCAATTAGAAGCTTTGAATTCTCTATGCATATGATAACGAGAATAATGTAATTACAAGTTGGAAATTGGTGAACTTGAAAATGAAACGAAACGTAGCTAGATTATATTGTCTCTATTTCATTACAGCGTTTTACCGTATTAGCAAATAAAAACTGAAATTTTAAATCATCTCCGAGGAAAATTCTTTAGACTTGAAGTCTAATTCACTCAGCCTAAAGCAATGAGCAACTTCAAACTTTTTCAAGCAGTTCCGAAATAAATTGTCATTAGCTGAACTAAATTATAAATTTTCATTTTTAAATCAGTGCAACAAGAGACTTCCAATTCATCAATCGCTAAGACATGATTTCCTGTGGCGTCTTGTCAGTTATCATTTGGGATTACATTGCGAGTGATTGAAACTGTAAAAATCATTTGAACAGATCAAATGGCTCCTCTACTACTTGACCCTTGCAATCGGGAAAGGTCATACGGTATGAATGGAAATTATGGGAAACTCCGGGAAAAAAAATAGTTTTACACTTCCTATTCGTGCTTTTATGCAATTTTTTGACTTCTGCCAGTACCGTATGAAATAATGAGGAAGGATTCAGTGCTGCATTGAACATATTTAATAATTACCGATTTCTTGAAGAACAGTAGATCGCATCAGTTCAAAGGGTAAAAGTCATTAGTAATTCTTATTCGGTAGTAGCAAGAAAGCGCAGACGGTAGTTGCAAAGCTGGGAAACTGCAAAGTGAAGGCATGAGAACTGAGAAGCAACAACAAGTCTTGATAGATCACCTAAAGCGGTAACCTTTGCTAAAATTGGCACAGAAACTTACAGAACGAAGCCAAGTGGAATTCGGAAAGGGAAAAGAGAAAAAAGAGAGAACAGGAAGGGAACAGAGAAAGCGCGCCAAAGAGTAGTACTACGTCCCGAAATCGATGCTAATATTATAAAAGTCTAAGAATGCAACCTCCCTATCAATTTCTTTATTGATAGCTGATTCTTAATCCATTCGCTGAACCTGTCCAGAATTTCTTATTCCGTTTATTCTGTATAATTTGGGAAGCATCTCGGTTTATACTTGTATTCGACTCTCGACCTTAGTGATTGCTTGGAGCGGTAACTTACCGGACTTAATGAAGTGAGACGGAGCCAAGTAGAACTGAAGCATTTGCAGGCAATCCAACTTATATCGATATCCTAATCCAATACTGACCTAACACAAGTCAGCAGTGTACGTTTTCGCATCATAGAATCAACTCAACTGCCCATTTCCAACAACTCAGAATCTTTTGCTAACGTAAACATCAACGTCATGTAAAGTTAATGACTGAAAACTTTTATCCGATGCGAAACATCAAACATAAACAACATAACCGGAGTACAATAATATTATGATGCAATCCAGTGATGTTGAAGAACACTTCCAAACTCGTTTCTCTTATTCCATTTTTCATCACATTCGCTGAGTTCTTACCTATCACTTGTAGTCTTTTTCGCAACGAGAGTTTTCTTTAATTTTTTTGATTGCTTGCTCTGCACCTGACTTTCTCTATCATCTGATTTTATTTCTTCAGTTTTAATTAGGCTTGTTTTATTCATCAGTGGCGTTATTTGCTGAAAATAGAGGTGGAAGAACACATCAACAAAATCTTTTACATCCCCCTCGTCTTTTTATCTTATTTTTCCTTTTTTTTTGTTCGAAGTAATATCCGCTATTGGTAAAAATTCACTTGCGTCCATCATTACAGTGATAATGGGAAATTTAAAGAAAAAAAATTTAAAGTTCCCGAGAAATATCACTGCTAAATAATCTCTAATAGCAAAATGCATTGTAATCTGCTTGCTTACACTGGCCTTAAGTAAGTGGCACCTTAGTTCGAATATACCAAACCCCACATTTACTTTTTACTAAAAAACAAGGGAAGAATTAACAGAAAATCCAAAGAAAATACTTTCGTTTCCGAGAGTCCAACAATGGGTGGCAACTGATAACCGAGTTCAGCAAATTTATTTGTTCTAATCTTTACATTCTTCAGTAGACGTTTCTGGAACATAGAAAAAAGACATTAGGCATTGTTACTCTATGCTTCTATTTATGAGGAAATTGTAGATTCTGAAAAAGGAGCATACTTTAGCTGCTTCTTCACACCATCCACTTTGCATCTTATTCAGTTTCTTCGCATGACGCTTCCTAGTAGCATTTTTTAACGGTGGCGGAATTATTCGTGGTCCTTTATATAAACAGGACGGAAAATCTTTGTTTTTTATTACTCTGCCTGGAATAAGCACTTTTAAATTTCCCTGTATGTGTTTTTGATTTTTTTTTTTTCATAAAATTAAATCACAAGGGAACACAGAAAGTTGGTTCTTTTAGCGTTTTCACTCTAAAAATATGAGCCACACTACACTACGAACACAGATAAACGACAGGAAATGATCAATTTTTCCATTCTGCAAAATCTGCTACTGTTTCCGTCTTTCCTTTATTAATGGAAAAACGTTTTGTGCTATAAAATTAGTAAAAGACCCACACTCCAGTCGTTTTTCGAACATTAAATAACCATCCATAGCTTCAGCTGCTAACTGCGCTACCTCATAATCTGTGAAAAGTACAAAAGCCCATCCTTTATGATTTCCGGTCTGAAAACAAAACAGTCGCACAAAATGTCCCGTATAAAATCTACATAAATAAGTTCATGTTAAATTACAACCTGTCTCAAGATAATTCTATATCAGATATTTTAGTAAGATACAACGGTACTAAGGTGTCGAAATTCATGCTTTAATTTATATGAAAAAGAAAGACGTGATGAAAGTAAAAGATTCGATTGATAGAATCTACAGATTTAAATTCGAAAAGTGTTTTTAAGTGCTTTTAGTGATCGATCAGAAAATCAAACCACTTCAAAGTTGTGGTCGATGTTCATTAAAACGTAAGTCTATCAACCAGCTTTTCACCTACGGGAAATCAGAAATGTTTGCGTTCTACCAGATAAAGTTAGTCATTGCATCTTACTCGTTAAACAAAATACCTTTAAAATAAACGCATGAGGCTTCTCCAGAAAGGGTAATTAAAAAAATCATCCAATAAAAATTTTTCCAAACAATAACGGTATTATCCTCATCTCGCTTGTCAAATGTTACTTGGAAATGGTTTCCACTTTATTTGCAGATGGTAGTTAGTAAATTATTTGAAAAGCTATGGGCCTATGAGGATCTCGAAAACCCTTTTATCTGCCTTCAGTTCTGCAGACTTTGACTTTTAAGGATGGGCGGAAGCTTTTCAGCTTGATTCTAAACATTTTCGTTCCATTTCAAGAAGCAAACAAAATTAAAACGCATGCGAATGTAGCTAAGGATCTATGTGAAGATAACATGATAAATAAATTGATAACATGACAAATAGATTGAAAAAATGAGCACACCTTTCTGTTCCTTGCAACTCGCACACGTCGAACAGTACCGAACTGCAAGAAGTAATTCAACAATTCCTTCTCGAATAATCCAAATGGAATGTGTCTGATCAAAATGGCCTTTGAATTGCCTTCCGGATCAACTCCCGGCTTATAAGACAACACTCTTGGTCTCGAATTCTTTCTTTCTTTGTTCTCAGTCATATGCCTCAAGACCCTGAAAAAAAAAAAAAAAAAAAAGACTCTCAGTAATACTTCACGGAACCAATGCATATCACTTACTACCCTTCTCTAAAAGATTTTAAAAAAAAACTCCATATTTCCTGGGAAATAATTTCTTTTGGATGCTGCCCAAAATTCGGCGTAAATTAATATGGACAAACATAATTTTTTTAAAATTAAAATTGAACGCTGCCACACGTTTGAATTGACATGAAAAATTGATTCTCGAAAACAAATTTTATTTATAACAATCAAAGGAAGCATGGAAATTTAGGTAAAAAGAAAAAACGTATCACAGAAAAACACTAGTATTACCGCCATCCAGACGACCAAAAAAATGAAAAAACAAATAAATGAATGAAACATTACGACAAAATCGTACTTCCGATATGACGAGATGAAATGATCTAAATGGCAATTTATCCAAATGAAATTATGCAAATAAGGATTACACGTCTTCCAGCAATTAGGCAATTAGGCATTCAATGTCGTTCCCTATCATTCCCAACTTCTCACTTATTTTTCCAATTCACAAAATAATAAGGTATTCCAAAATGATTATTTCATAATGACCTAAATAAAATGGCAATTTATCCAAATACTTTTAATGCATAAGAAGTAGTCATGCACGATAACATGTCTCTTGCAATAATTTAAAGAAAGAACCTGATTGTTTCCAGCACAAAATTTTATAAAATCAAGAAACACGCTGAGGATATTGCTATTTCCAATAACATGACAAGCACCGATTACACACGAAAATTAAAAGAATATTTCTGGAAATAATAACTGTCAAGTACCTTATAGAATCTGTAAAATGGTTTGATGCACGAAAAACCAGTGAGCTTTATAACTGATAGATAACTA